GCAGTCCTCCAAGCACACAACGCCAGCCTCAACGAAATCCACAACTTCCAGTGGGAAATCACGGCCGAACTCCTCTGGCAACTCACCATAACGACCAGGGCTTTCTTCTCCCACCGCACCACAGAAGCAGACCTCTAACTACACAACACCCCCCGCCCCAACCTCGATCCCCTCGTCATGGCCATCGCAGGGGGACTCTTCCACAAGGCCAGCAACAAACCACCCATGTTCTGCCCGCCAAMCCCCAAACGCCCACGCAATCCCCAACACACAGACTCGCCACGCCGCACACGCCCAGACCGCAAAGACAATCCGCCAATCCACACTAAGGACCTCCCCGCCCCGTGTCGCAAAATCATAACAGCCAAGAAGAAACCGAACCAACGTTTCCCCACCATCGCATCCGCGCGGGCCGCAACAAACTGTCCCGACGACGCCGCCTTCGCCACGCGCCTCGGCATCCAACCTAATGACGATTTCTGGGACAAGGTGTGGTGGGAGGGGTACGTAGTCAAACTACTTACTCGTGATTGAATACCTATGGGAGACGAGTCATGATACTTAAAACTAAACAATTACAGTACGAAAAGTAACACTACGTACTTACTGCATTCTCTAGTGCTCGTTACTAGAGTATGGTAAGTACTGCTGGAAATTGATTCATATCATCTTCCTTATCAAATTGTACATGTAGTAGTCTCTCTGATTGCCATGTATCTAGCACATATGCACGGTTGCATTAGTTTCCAAAAGGTTTGACAATCAATAGTTGTCCTTTGTATCAACTATTTCCGTTCAGGAAGATTGACAAAATATTGCTTCTGTAATCCGTGTCGTTGAACTTGCTAAACCCATACAATCCGTCTCTTCTGGCGCTTCAGTGATGTCTGAATTCAAATCAATGTATTTGAACCGGTAGGCTGGCAATTCGATCGCTGAAACTTTGTATAAGCATTGTCAAGTGCCAATCTTTCGAGGTGTGTTCAATGGTAGTATGACTGACGAGCACCAGAATGTCAATCATTTTGGAAGCGGTAGCCTGTTGTTCACTGTTTCCATCGCCAGTCTCCTAACAARTCTATCAGTTCTGGTCGCTATTATCGTTATCGTTCCCTTCATTTTCCGCTCCTATTTTTTCTTGTAACAATTGCGTCACGGGATGATTTTCTCCATGATATTCCTGTGACAACGACAAGGGACTTTGTCCACCGTTAGTTCTTGCATAAATATCAACGTATTGTTCTTGTTCTACTACGAGATAACGGACGATTTCCATGTGACCACCTCGACACGCTTCGTGCAGAGGTTGCCATCCGTTTCGATCACGAGCTCCGAGCAAAAGACGACGGCGATGGCCACCAGCATTGGTCGTTAATGCCTCAACGAGCTCTTGCAGTTCGGAATAATTTCCAAGTTTGGCGGCAATATGGGCCGGTGTAGCACCGTCTCGGTCACCGAATGCGAATTCTCGCCGTTCTTGTTGTGGCGGAAGCCGATGGTATTCTTCTTCTCCTGGTACCAATCCTCCTTCTCCGATCAATTCAACTAAAAATTGCGGAGTGCGCAACATCCGTCGCCCCCCCATCTGAGCTGGAGCAATTGCAATAAGGAAGTAATACAGATGACCGACCGCCAAACCATGAAGAAGTTCGTGAAGACGATTCTTCATAAGCAGGGAGATCCCAATGTGAGCAAACGGAAGATACCGGCCTTCCATTGGAACGAAATTCAATTGGATCATTGCACGCGGGTTTCGTTTCGACCAAAGATAGAGCAGAGCACCGGTCAGATTGCGGGTCAAGATAGGATACAGCGAGTACTTTCGACCGAAGAAGTAACCAGGGAGGCGGTGTGTGCATAGGATTACAACAACACAAAAGATCGAACCGAAAATACCGTCAGCGGTCCGACTTCCGCTTCCAGCAGGAAAGGGATTGCTCTCATACCCCTTGCCGTGAATGTATATCGTGTACAGTAAGAAAAGAGAAGGAATCTGATTCAGTGGCCCTCCGCAATAGCAAAAGGATGTCAAGAGTCGCCAAAGTTCGGGGCGGTCATGAGTGCCATAACGATTCATCGCYTTTCTAGCAGAAATGAAACTGGAGACTCGATCCCAATCGAGAACAACTTGGTGGGCAGAGATCGCATCCAGTGTGATAGCTGCCGAAATGGCAAATGTCAGACMCAACCATGTTCTTGTGAACAGAGGAAGGGATAGAAACGAGTCAACAATGTCCATCGTTGAATGGTGAGTTTAATTCTTTTCCTACTCAAAACTCAGAAAACGAGAATGTGCAAGTATTCCAGAATGTTTCGAAATTACCGTACCGTGTGGGTACAACAACATGCAAGTTGCGTGTCTCACCGTAAGAACATACGTTACGGTGCGTACCGTAGTACAATACGTAGTAAGTATTTTGTTGAATTCAGAATTCAGAGCAGGCTGTATTCATTTTTTTTTCAGAGGTAACTTCTGCTTATGACATTCTCGTACGGTACCGTACCTCCATACGGTACCGTACCTCGTTTGAATTTTGGGAGATATTGTAGGATAAACTACGTTAGGACCTAATCGTACTCGTCCATAGTGGTTGAAGTGATTAAGCCCTAAAATGGAAATCTGACGTTTGCTATGAAAAAATGACTAATTTGTTTKAAATTAATTAACAATCTTTACAGAATCAAACAGAAAAGGCCATAAGTACTTTCTTAAGTATAAGTAGAAAATCAAACAAAATTCTTTTCCAAGAAAATCATCTTCGTTTCTTTCTTTCTTTCCTCTGTTGCTGCTCTCTACGCCTCGTGCCGTTTGATCTACAGTACTCGTACCCGTACTGTACGTACTTGAAAATCGTGTTTTGTCGTCAACTCCGCTCCCCCCTACGGTACGATTGGTACTTTTGTAACATTATCTTTCGCTCTGACAAGCCAATCTTTGAAGTTTGTTGGAAACTTACCGCGTGTGCCATTCATATCGTTCGTGAAATAATCAATTCCACCGGAAGAAGGTAAGAATAAGACAAGAGAAAGATCGAGATCTGTATTCTCTGCATCAATGCTGATATAGTTTGTTGGTTGGCATGACAGCACTGCATTCCTTCTTTGCGAAAGAGAGCGTTGAAGCTGTATCTGTAAAAACAACACGTGACAAAAAAAATATTTGGTGGTATTTTCCTTCGTCGATGATTTCCCATTTGTTATGTTTTCTTCAGCCCCTCTTCACTACYTCCCAATCCAAACTTGTACAATATGTATGATATATATGCATGGAGCTCTCACCTTTGATGATCGTTGTTTTCCTGCGTCGTATTATCTTCAGAAATAAGTATGGATAGTCTACCCCCCAACGACCCAAACCGCAACAACGGCAACAACGACMGTCAAGCTGCGAAGGAACAACCGTTCGATGGAACGAGGCGAAACGGAAGCAATGGAGGCAACAATGGTCAGGAGAACGGCGAACCTATGGACATCATGGGTAACATGAGCGATTCTCCAGCCGTCGTCATAATGTTCTTGGTCGGTGTCGCAGCTTGGTTCCTGAGAGAACAATGCGTTTGTTAAACATCGTGGTTGGAAGATGAATGGAAATAGTGACAAAGCCATTTTTCTGCTCGGTGGGTGTGGCACCTTGGTTTTTCAATGGACGTAAATTTTTCCGACGTTGTGATTGTGAGAACAGCATGCAGGGCGAGTTCATCGTCATGAATGGCGTGCGAACAACTTATGTTTGCATGCGACGAACGCAACAAACGCAACGAAGTCATGCAAAAGAAGCCATTTGAAAATGACCATATGATGAAGATTGACCCGTTGAAATGATTGGACCACTTGAGGTTTCAGAGGCTTTGATGCTTTATTCTTTGTTCTTTGTTCGTTTGTAGCTCTGTTATACGACGTAAAAATTAAACTATCATAATATTATTGAGATCTCATTGTGTAGAAAATTCCGTTATAATACGATGATAGGAGTTGTATGAACGCAAGAAAACAGTCTTGCCGAATTCAAAACGTACGTGATCTAATACAAAAGAGATATTATATATTATTTCATCGATATAAATTGAAGATGGTACGTAGGTCCTCGAGAGGAGCACACGCTATCTTCATCTCTCTGTTTTACTGGGACGAATTTGGAAGCGGCGTCGCCGTTGAGCTTACAGTCTGTCATTCTCGACTCGCGTCAAAATGACATCAACGAGTAATTAGGCCTATGTTCGACTTTCTGTACGCTCTTTCATGTGCTTTGTACCAGTCGCGTTGGTCAAGACGTACAAGAAGTTAAAAAAGCAGCAAACTACACATTTCAGGTTTACGAAGTTCACTCGATGAGAAACAGTTTGGTTCATTATTGTTAGCACTGTTTCTTGATAATGATGCTCGATTCAAAAAATGAAAACACGTTGTCGGCGTTGTAAATAGCACGGCATCAAGATGTCTGAGAAGACACACGAGGCATGGAAAATGATRCTTGAAAATCGGGAGAATAGATGCGTCGATCACACATCCCAGCAATTAGAAGAAACAAATATTACACAAATGTCGTGCGCATCTTGTGGGAGAGCCTCTCAGGAAGAAGGAGTCCCTTTGTCCGGCGTGACAAGGGGGATTGAATTGTCTTCCTTAGAGTCGGTCTTGAGAATTTCAATGCTACTCTCTTCGTATGTTCGGGCAACTTGATGCCCGTAAACAGGAGAGAGGCGTCGCGCTGCGGGTTTTAGATTGTAGTAGTCACAGTTTGGAGACAATCGCACAACCTGTTGGGACCCTTGATGAGGAGCATGGAGAAGCTCGGTTGAAGGTGCCGAGGTCAAATGAGACGATACAGGGGCCACGACGTACGGTTTTGAGACATTAGTGGACATGGGCTCAACGCGATGACCAATGATGTGGCGTGGCGGAGAAACGCCATGCGCCGGAGAACCTCCTCGCGGTGGAGGAGTAATGGATGTGAATGCCTTGTTGACGGGGCTTCTCGGTGGAAGAGACCGATTCTTGCGACTAAATCCAGTATGGATGGCCTTCCCAGACCAATTGGATCGGTGCTTGTCGTAGATATCTATTTTCGCTCCATGTGCACCTTCAAAGACAATTTCAGACACCTGGGCTAAAATCTGTTCGGAAGGAGACGCCTCCCGGACTTCTTGGTCGTGGTCAGCTCGCGGAGACGACGTCTCGAGTGAGAGTGGTCTATGGTGAAGGGAACTCAAGTCGGAAACTTGTTTTCGATCCATGTACTGGTATGAAACAATCTTGGGTGGTTCGTCGGAGCCAGAAGAACTACTTGTATTTACAGACGCACCACTAGAACCGGTTGTAGGAGATTTTGTAGCACCACTTCTCTTCATAAACGGTGGCAGATTGCGAAACCTACCGGAATCTTTCGAATTATTGAAAAAACGGTCTGCCCGGACACTAGCTCCATCTCCACGGGCACGACTTTCAGGAGTTGTGGTACTAAGGGAGCAGTTTAGATCTCTGGATCGAATGCTTCGATCGGACGACAAGGATAGTTCAATCTGCTCGCCAACCGCTTGGAGTTTTCGATCACGTTGCAAAAGATTTACGTTTTCTACCTCCCGATCAGTCTCCGAGATTACTGACAGTTGTGACCCCATGCTTCGGCTGTTGCTGCTGTTCGAAGTCGATGTTCCCTGTGACACGCGACCCGAAGCATTTGATACACTAGAATGGAATCTCCCCGATTCCGGAGAATCTTGGGAGGGCGATACAAATGATTGGGTCATGCGTTCTGGGCTAGACATGGAGTACGCGGCTCGGTTACAAAAATCCGTGTTTTCGTTCACTTGGATGCAAACTCGATCCTTAGAAGAGGGGATCGGGGATCCAGATTTTTCGGCGTTTCCGTCGACTGATGCGGCTCTCCCTTTGCCGTTTGTGTGATTCAGAATTGCGATAGAACTTGAGACAACACCATGGTTAACCAAGTCTTTCGTGTCGATGCTGGGGTTCGTTCTTGCCGTTGGCGATGACGCTACCGACGAAGACCGAGATTGTTCATCTGATGATATCGACGCCGGTCTGGCAGGATTTTCTCGACCATCCCGAGGACGACGCCTGCCACCAGACCCTTGGCGTTTGCCCCCGTTTCCACTGCTGATGCGCAGGTTGCGAACGTCGGTCAAGAACCTGGCGGCTCGGGATTTCTTCTTGGTCGATCGTTTCGACACCTCGTCGGCGTCTCTGAGATAGGGAACATTCGTCACCTCGATCGAAGTCATCTCCCCCAGGGCATCATCGCCATCCGCTATCTTCAGAATTTCGTCTTCGTGCACAATCGGATTGAAAATGACGGGACGAGCTGTTCGCTCGTTGGAACGCGAGCGACTGGTCGCTTTCATCATGGCATAGGGCCGCAGCGAGAAGGCACTGCTGCGACCCCCCGAGGCCTGGGCTACGGAGGATGCGTCGTGCACCCTGTGCGAGTTCGTGCGAAAGATGGTCCCAAAGGCGCTGTTCTCGGACGTTGTCAGCGGCGTGGATCTCGATCGCGTCAGGTCCAGAATCTCCAGGCCCGCCGGGGGCGGATCTTCCTCATCGCTTTCGCTGTCACATTCGTCCTCGTCGTGGATCGCAGACAAGGCAGAGATTGGCGCGTGGCGAATCTGAGGCGTGGAGTGAATGTGTCTCCGGAGAGCGATTGGTTCGAGGAACTGTCCCGGTGGCCGTGGATTCGGATGCGGCTGGGGTTGTTGGTGGAGTTCCAGGGGGGGGAGCTGCAGGTGGTGGTGGGCCGATTGCGCCAGTCGAGCCAGGCCTTCTCCGTAGCCGCATATCGCCTCTTGCAAGGGAGGAACGATCTGCTTTGCCCTGGTCTCGTTCATGTAGGTTTCGAACTTTTCAAAGGCGAGTTTTGCGAACGAAGACCCCGACGATGGTTCCAGTGCTTCGGGGGCGGAGAGAGGAACAGCAGTTTCCGAGTTCAATCCGCTGTCCAAGGGTTTTTCCATCGAAGATGACTGGGTCTCCGCGAACGAAGGCATGGTTTGGTTCGTGTTGTTAAGTGTGGCTGCATCCGAGACTGGCGGCAATCGGTGAGGGATTCCCGGCTGCGACACCTCTGTGGTGGGAGCTCCCCGCGATTGGTCCGTGTTTTCCGACTCAGACAGTGATGCGGAAGAGGGCGATGGCTCTGTCCCTTTCATTGTTGTTTGACGGGATGCATCATTGATTTCCGTCATAACCGAATTATCCCAGATCAAAAACACATCAAACAATGATCGGTTCCCTTCGAGCAATGCCTGGGTTGAGCTACAAAGCAAGTTGGAAATTGATGGTGTTGGTGCGCCGTTTCGACAAGTTAGCTGTGTTTGCTTGCTGCGAAGATCAGTGCGGTTTGCTTTTCAAAGATCGTAGCACTGGAGTCAGAGAGGTTTCGTCCAACGGGTACGCCTAACCAATGCTTTCGATGTGTGAGCGTTGTTGTCCTTAGTTTTTCCGTCGAGAACAAACAAATATCCGCGAGGCGACGAGATAATTATTTTATTTGGTGTTCCCGTCTTTTCGGAAAGAAATGCACTACTGCGTGCGAGAAAGAAAAAATGACGCGCTACTGCACAGCGGATCGTCAAAAAGCCAAGAACAGTAACAATGAAATATTCGAGGCTGATCCTGCTGGCGCGTGACTGCGACCACATTTTGACAAAATTATCAGCAATGTTCCATCTAGATTCAGCATACTCGGAGGTCTCATCACGGGGTACAGAATTGTTTATTGTGTAAACACAACAGCCCTCCGATTCGCATACCGCAATAATGCCAGAATTGAACAGCAATAATTTTTGGTTACGTACGGTAGAAGTTGCTTGCCGCGGACATCCTGTAMTGGGCCCCAGTACCTGATGTACTCCACGGATATACGGTACGGTACCTGTACGTACAGTACTGTACCGTACGGTAGGAAGTCTCCTCGGTTGTGCGCTAGTGCAAGAGCCTCGATCCATCAACGGAAGACGACTCGATCGAACCCGAGAGAGGCAGTAGGGTACTGTATTTCGTATTTTCTCAGAACGACGGACAGGCTACCGCGATCTAAATTCTGGTCATCGTTCAGGACCACGTTTCGATCCATAAGCCAAGGCCATTCCTCCCACATGCGGTCGTCATTTTTCAGAAACAGAAACCGTTTCAGAAAAACACGAGGGCGCGGCTCCTTCTTGGTTCACGCGAAATAGTTTCTAACAATCGTGAAACAACAGACCTCGTGACCATACACTTCGTTCTGATTCCAATTGTCAGAGCAAACCAACTGCAACTGTTTGTAAATACTTAGTCTATCAAAATGTCAGGATACGGCGGTGGTTACGGCGGCGGAGGCTACGGAGGTGGCGGCGGCGGTTACGGAGGAGGTGGCTCCGGCTATGGGGGCGGTGGAAACTACGGCGGCGGCGGCGGAGGGTAAGAACCACGAGAAGTTTCCTTGCGCAGTGCCCGAGACTCTCTTTTTGACTCTGCATCTCACGTTTTGATCAATTGATTCCACTCTAATTCGTCTCAATCGCGTCCTAGCTACGGAGGTGGCGGCGGCGGCGGCTACGGTGGCGGTGGTGGCTACGGAGGCGGCGGTGGCGGCGGCTACGGAGGCGGCGGTGGCTACGGAAACGGCGGGGGCCGCGGCGGATCCAACCTCGGATCCAATCTGCAAAACATTGATTTTTCCAAGGAACAATTGGTGGCCTTCGAGAAGAACTTTTACATGGAACACCCCGACGTGACAAAACGAAGCGAAGAAGAAGCTGCCCAGTGGAGACAATCGAAGGGAATCGTGGTCGTTGGAAAGGACGTTCCGAAGCCGTGCATGACCTTCGAGGAAGCATCGATGCCGGAATACATCCTTACCGAGGTTCTCAAGTGTGGTTTCAACTCCCCGACTCCTATTCAATCGCAGGGCTGGCCCATGGCTCTGAAGGGGCAGAACACTGTCGGAGTCAGTGCGACGGGAAGTGGAAAGACGCTGGCATTTTTGTTGCCGGCCATGATTCACATCAATGCACAGGTAAGAAATAGGAACATTCCCACTCAGTAGGAAGAAGACGCATACAAAGCAGACGTGCAAGCAGGCTTGGCCACGAGGGGAAAGCGAGTCGGGGCGACAAACCGTGCCCACCGTGCTCCAACAGCACCTGGGACTTTCGATCGGAAAAGGAATCGGGTGGATCGGACGGACTTCGGTTTTGACGAGTCGAGAGGAAAGTTGCTTTGCGTTGATTTGAATCAGCGCAGTGCGATGGAAAATATTCGCCGCTGGAACGCACAATTCGGTCCGCCTTGCGGCGAGACGCCGAACTAGACGAGCCGTTAATTCATTTGTGCGTGTCCGGAGYCGAAAGGGTCGAACTTATTTAGTCGATCACACAAAGCAAGACATCTTTCGTAAATGTTTGCTTTTCCTCTTTTTGTCGAGGCGATAGATATGGGTTCTATCAAATGACGATCTTGATATCCTTCAAACAGTTCGGCACTAATTGTCCAAATAACTCCACGAGTTCTTTGGAAAATGGACAGAGAGATCAGAAACATTTATCGTCACAAACGGATAGATTTTACATTCGTCGACGCGAGTCCCACACATTTTGTGGTGGCATTGCATACCTGCATCACAGCATCAAAACACCGTGGAATTTGATGCGATGCGATGTGGTGTGTGCATAATGCTACTGGGATTGATTGAATCGAGCTATTTATGCACCTTTCTATTCCTTCACAGCGCCTAATTACGTACTATCCATCGCTACTTGCAAATGCTATATCAAGTAAGCCAGTAAGTAGCGATGCGTCTCTTYGCGTGAATGGGTGCAAAGGAGGAATCTCATGGTGCTTGCTCGGGTCATTCAACCTCGGGGACTTGTTCTCTGTTTCCTGTCACGCCCGACTCCGATAATCACTTCCCGATACGAGATGGATTTCATGTCGATGTGCAACTTCTTGAAATTACCTATTGTGGGCGATTCGAGAACATCTCAAATGCCCTCTTTGTCACCCCGTACGTTAGCACAACATTCTGGCACCGATCATGTTTTTCTCACTCCAATTTTTCTTTCCATCGTCTTGTCATTTGCAATTTGTAGCCCTATCTGAAGCCCGGTGAGGGACCCATTGTATTGGTCCTCGCTCCTACGCGAGAGCTCGCGGTTCAGATCAAGGAGGAATGCGACAAATTTGGAAAATCCAGCGATATCAGAAATACTGTTGTCTATGGTGGTGTTCCGAAGAGAAGACAGGTTCAAGATTTACAGAGTGGAATCGAAATCGTCATTGCAACACCAGGTAGATTGATCGACCATCTCGACCAAGGAAACACGAACCTTAAACGAGTGACGTATCTTGTTCTCGACGAGGCAGATCGTATGCTTGATATGGTAAGTAATAGCACCTTCATCGTACTGCGCCATTTTTGTTTACACGAGATTATCGATAATGACGATTGTCCCCAGTATCCTGACGGTTGTTTGATTRCCAAATGTTCGGATTTACGTTTGTATAGGGATTCGAACCGCAACTCCGCAAGATTGTCAGTCAGATTCGTCCTGATCGTCAGGTGCTGATGTGGTCAGCCACCTGGCCGAAGGAGATCCAAAATCTGGCACGGGACTACTTGGATGAATATTACCAAGTCACGGTTGGATCTCTAGATCTAACTGGTAACAAGGATGTGACACAAATCATTGAAGTTTGTCAAGACCCAGACAAATACCGCTCTCTTCTCAAGTACCTGCGTGAAAACTTGACGCAGAAAGATCGTGTTCTTGTTTTTGTGGAGACGAAAAAAGGATGCGACATGCTGACGAGATCGCTGCGCATGGATGGTTTCCAAGCACGAGCAATGCACGGGGACAAGAGCCAAGAGGAGCGTGATTGGGCCCTTCGCGAGTTCAAGAGCTGCCAAAGCACTCTACTGGTCGCCACAGACGTCGCTGCAAGAGGTTTGGATGTTGACGACATTCGAATGGTCGTGAATTTCGATATGCCCAGCAACATGGAGGACTACGTCCATCGAATTGGTCGTACCGGTCGTGCGGGGAGAAAAGGAACTGCCGTGTCGTTCTTCGTGGCAGAAAAGAATGGTCGCATGGCCAAAGATCTCTTGGATATCTTGAAAAGAACCGAACAAAACATCCCACCCGAATTGAATAATATKGCTTCTTTCTCGTACGGTCGTGGYGGCGGCAGAGGGCGTGGACGTGGCGGGCGTGGAAGATACTGAGAGAAAAGTTTTATTACCACCTAGCAATTAATAGTACGAAAAAATTTATCGCCTCTGTCCAGGTTTGTTATTAGTAGTGCATTAAAAGATGGCGACATCAYAACTATTTTCATCGATTGAGTCCAGAGCGAAAGGATGTTTGACCCCTCTTGAGCATTTTCAATCTCTTTTGAACGTTGACGCTTCCGACAGTCCTCGCGTCTGGAACAGCGAGTCGTTTTCCACCGGCCAAGGTCACGGTTTTTGTCACCGGCGCTGTTTTCCGCACACGCGTGGGCTTTTTCCCCGCCGACGCAAACGCCACTGCAGCCCCAAAGCCGGTTGCTCGTTTGTGGGCTGCAGCCACAGATGCGGCCRAAACGGCTCCACCGCGTCTGGTCGATGTTACCTGAGCTTCCTTCCGAAGCTGTCGCATTTTGTCAGAAGAACCGGAAGGATGACTATTTCGGGAAGGACTGCTGTCAAATCTGGATTTGTTCAGAATTCTTTCTTGTCTAGAAGATGYATGATGAACCTTTACGATCTTTGGCCGCACCGTATTCAAACGCCGTCGTCGTTCTCTCATCTTTTCACCCTGCCTCGACCGTCTGTCCTCGTCGTGAATCCTGAGCGTGTGGTACAGTGATCGCCAGGAATCACACTTTTTTGCAGCTGTTAATATCGACGCAGTTGTGGATGCCGTAGAATTTCCTCTCGATCGAGCTTCTCCAGGTTTCATTTTCACTCCGCTATCGGCTGCCAAATCTTTCCAGGATTGGAGTGTTTGCTCTAAMGTGGTTCGAGGCGTTTTGCGTATATCCTTTCCAGAAGAGTATACGTAAGGTTCATCTAGAAAGTCTAGTCTCGTTGACTTGCTAAGAAACTTTTTCACTTTCTTCCCTATCCCAGTGTTCTTCAAAAGATTCATATCCATCGGTGATTCTGATAATGTTTTGATGGCACGAAGTGTCGACGCGATTGCTTTCTGATTTTCAGCAACTTTGGATTCACCTTCTTCTGCTACCAGTTTAATGCAATCGGAAAGTCCGTTCCCAGAATCTTCAATTCGTTGCAGTAAAACGGGCCAGGGATAGAGTAAACCTTTCGGTCGTGAAAGTCCACCTTTCTTAAATTTGTATTCCACGATGTCCTTCCATGCAAGTTTATCTGCTATTTTTGATTTGCTCAAATGATGATTTTGTTCTTCCACTTCAATCATAAATTTATCCGTGACCGCCGGATGCAAACGGCCACTCCCATCTATCCCTCCTCTTCCCTTGAGGGGCTTCGTTTTTTTATAACGAAGCTTAATGATACAATCCCACTGAAACTCATCAACAATCCCAAAAGCAGCGGCAGGATATCGCTCGAGGTCTTTCACGACGGTATTTATACACAATGCGGAAAGTGATTGGACACCAGACGTTCTTTTTGTGGGAGCTTCCACTTTTGCTGAACCCATTTCCATGGTAATTGCTTCACTTTGAGTAAGATTGTAAGTTCTAAGGTTCGCGACAATCTATCGAGCAGACGGTGTTCACACGACACTCCATCTGTTGAGATTTTTAACAAGCATCCAGCATTTCTAAAACAAGTTTGTCTTCGGTTTCGGCGTTCTGTTTCTTGTCTTCCTGATTTACCGGACAGTCCTCCAAGTGAAATAGGTGTACCGTACGTACAGGTATGACCCCTGCAGGTAGAACCGTACGTACCTCAGAGAAGAGTTCTGTACGTAGAGTTGTAATAACAGTGCGTACTACTGTATCGTAGCAGCTACAGGATTCTTTTTTTCGCCATCGCGTGCACAAACAAAGCACAATCGTGTTTTGTCAATCAAATCAAATTTCTAGCGTACGTACGGTACCCTTACGTACCGGTACTTAGGTATTCCGTACGTACCGGTACCTTACCCTAGCCTAGAACAACTGGTACAAGAACTTACTGTACGTACCGGTACGGGACGAAATGGAATCTGAAAATGCAAATACCGTACGTACGAGTACTCGTACGATTGGCAACTCGGAACATTCGATTCCGTACCAACTGAAACAGTACGAAAATGATTGACAGAGTTTCGCATCATAACCGATTATTTTAAAACTATGAAATTCAAATTCAGTAAGCGAACCAAAACCCCTCCAAGTATTGATTTGGACACATTTACTCAGTCCAAGACTTGATCATCCTCACTAGGAGCCCCACTGAAAGTTTCTGGAAATCTTCAAAGTAGCGAGGGCATGAGACTTTTTCAAGGAACATCTCACACGCAAACATAAATGTTTAGATCGCAGAAACAAATCAAAGTAGTCGCATCGGACTCCGCGCGGCTGCTTTCACGATGGGAGACCCAAAATGTAGTGGCGATTTAATCACACTGTATGCGTCAATATGGTGCAGTGAGTGGTCAATTTCCTGAACATTCCCTGATTTAGGGCTTTTCGGGGTGGCGAGGATTGCAGTTGACAAAAGATTATCCCTTTCATCGACCATTGCACCACGAATGCGTTCTCGACCACTACCAGTGACGACCCCAATACGACTTTTTGGACGACCCGGTGTCATTGTGAAATCGCTTTGAAAGGGAGTTTCTTCGTTTGTATGCTTGACTTTTGTACCACTATCAAGCAGAATCGATTGTTCTGTAAGGTCGTCTTTGAAGAAGACTCGAGGCGTGTTTGCCGACGAAGACTTCGAAGACGAAACATAACCTTTCGAAAAAGTGTCATGTAGCAATTTTGCATCGTCTCCACCCCAGCTTGTACACATTCCCGGTGTACTTGATTTATTCGGTGTTGGGATGAGAAATGGGCTAAAACAATTGCTTTTCGATCCTTTTGCACATGGACTTCCAAGTAGAGCGTATTCATCTAGAGTGTACCCTAGATCCGACGATTCGCCCAACTCGAAATTGTCCTTCGATTTTGTATCTTTCTGGACTGTATTATCTTTCGTTCTCAATATCGGAGAATGCTTCAAACTTAACGAATTGGACAAGGTTTCAATCTTACTTGAAGCTTGTTGAAGTTGAGTGGAATCCTTGGTGCTTGATGGGGTAGGCAAATTGTTCGTAGGAAGTGGCGTTGTAGGTGGTGGACGTACTGGTGGGTACCCCGGGAACAACTGTGCCATCGGATAGAGGGGTGAAGGATGCCCCCAATGCATAGGATGTGGCGGAACCATGTACCCATTGCTATAACGATGGTGATGTGGATACAACTGCTGTTGCGGTGTTGCCCATTTGGGGCCATCTAGATGACGTCGACTCTGATTCATCGGCACTGCCTTTTGCAAACGACTATATTCAGACTGAGATAGACCCAGTGCATTCAGCTCGCCGATTGAACCACTTTTCACCGCCTTTTCCACAATCCGTCGTCTCTCCAATGCGGAGTGATACACGCCTTTTATATATCCGCCTTTGAGTTCACTCAAAAATTCTTCCAAGATCTTCTTGTTGACAGGAGACATCTCTGCAAGCTTCGAGTTTTTGTTATATTCCGAACTAGACTTGACTCGTTTGACACTTTTTGGCGTATACCCCATGCCGGGATAGGCACCAACCATCATCGCATCATATTGTCGTTTCATCATCGAATTGTAAGCAGCTGGGTTCTGGGCTGCGGACATCGGAGTTGCAAGAGGTACCATTCTATTTGGATGCATGTGATTTAAACGAGTACTTCCGAGCGGTCTTCCAGCATAAGATTTCGCTTGATTTTTGATGCTTTTTGAATTAGAGCCTGATTGCTGTAGAGCCTGTAGGCATCCCTCAATATCCTCTCGTCTGAGTAAGAACCTGCCAGACTCATCGACTACGGGAGCTGTAGGATCGACCCGTTTTCTCTCGAGATACTTTTCAATCTTCTTCTTCATGGATGAATTCCAATGGTTCTTGATGGCATTGTCAGTACGACCATTCAACATCTTCGAAATCTCCGCCCAGCGATTTCCAAAACGGATGTGACTGTCAATAATTATCCGATCTTCCTCCATCGTCCAGGTCTTTGACTTATTGATATTAGGGTTCAGATGATTGTGCCATCGCTCACGGCACTGTTTCCCACTTCTCCCTGCGATGCTATTTGCAATCGAACTCCATTTCTTGGCACCTGTTTGTATATCGATTAGCAGAGGTAAAAAGAAATGAATAAGATATGATACGCCAAGCCGAACAAACGAATTGCTAGATCATCCCGTAACGATAGGAGTTCTAATTTCAATCACTTACCGTGTTGTGCCACAAGAGCGAGTATCTGCTCATCTTCCTGACGAGTCCACGGGACAGGTCCTCTACCCCCTTGAGATTGCCGCAAAAAGTCATATCGCTCTTTGCATTTTTCACCGTCCCTCTCCATGGTTGAGCCGATCCCCTGCCAGTTAATCATTAGATCTGAAGAATCTGCTGGCTGTCCGTTCTTTTTCTTTCGTAGAGCTTTCTTTCGTGCAGACACAATCGACTTCAACTTTTTATCCTGAATGTCCAAAAAGAAAAAAGAATAGAATTTGGTATGAGTTTGTGCTGGATTTCAAGACTGTCGATCGCAACAACCATGATACGTCTTTTTATATTTAGAACTGAATCTTACATCTTCTTGACTCCAAGATTGACCTTTCCAATTGTTATCGTTCTCCGAATCATCGTCTCCTCCTGTATTATTGTCTTCCTGTGATACCTGGGACACTGTTGATGGGGATAGGATAGGTGCGTTGCTCCCTCCACTTTGAACTTTAGCCCCGCTGCCTCCCTGTTCCGCGCTTATTCCAGGACTCGATACTGTTACGTCTGCTGACGACACATGTGTTTGGGAAAGGACTGCCATATTTTCGATATGTTATTTTGTATGAAGCAATTTCGTCCCTATCTTGCGTTTGTCTCGTTCAAAGAGTGATATTGTTGCTTTTCAGAAAACAGATTATGACGATTGGATGCATCTAATTTGACTGTCAAAACCACGGCACATCTTTTTGAGCACTTCCGAGTTTTCTCTCATTTTGTGTTTGATTTTGAAGAAAGGTCGGCCGGTGCACGATTTGAATTTTTCAATAAATAGGCTCATTAATCAATTTCAAAAACTAAATGACTACTTTAGTTCCTAATTTTCCCAAGACTAAATTATGCAAGATTGATTTAAGACTAGATCAGCTCGTTACGTTACCGTGCATTTTTTGATGAGGACGGACATTTTTATGTTTTTCGTTCTCGTCTGTTCCCGATTGCTGATTACTGGTACCGTTCGTACGGTACGATCGAAAGACTCTGCATGGTCCCACCCGGGCATCCCGACCATATTGGCAACACAGCAATTCATACCAATCAAGTCTTCACGGCATCACTGATTAAAAACCATGGCACAGACCGCCCCCGCAAACCAAGAGGTTTCTAACGGACCAATTTTCGTTGATACGCAGCACGAGGATCTGGTACATGATGCTCAGCTGGATTACTACGGATGCAAGCTAGCAACATCGTCATCTGATCGAACCATCAAGATCTACAACGTGTCTGAAGACTCTTCCGAGCTTTCTGCTACTCTACAGGGACACGAAGGTCCTGTTTGGCAAGTCTCTTGGGCGCATCCGAAGTTTGGAGGTACGATATGACCGGGCGGCAGAAATGGAGCATTTTAAACAATCTATTTGTTGCTGCCTGTTTTGTTGAAATAGTTGTTGAAAAAGGACTGTTTGCTGGTCAGAATCCAAGCTTTCTCGGCATGCATAATTTTCTGTTTTACAATACTCATCGAATAGTTTTTCATCCGGCTTTGTTGCAATGATAAACAGTGATTCTGGCTTCGTGCAGCTTCGATGGATCAGTTTTGATTCACCGAGAGATTCGACCTCGAGATTGGTCTCTTTTGCATGCTGCTCGCCACTTGCACGAATCGTCCGTAAATTCTGTGGCTTTTTGTCCACACGAATATGGTCTAAGAGTGGCGGCCGCTAGTTCCGACGGCCGTGTTAGTATCCTAACGCATCAACCAGACAACAGTTGGTCTACTGAATACATTACAGACAATCCGTTGGGGGTGAATTCGGTCAGTTGGGCACCCATGGGTGCGTACTCTGACGAGTCATCCACGGTGGATGCAGCAGYACCTGCTGATAGCTTGAGACTCGTGACGGGAGGATGCGACAACCGCATTCGATTTTGGCTTGAACAACCAGAAACGGGACAATGGGTTGAAGATCCGTCGTGTCCAGTCTCAAAAGACCTTGGACACAGCGATTGGGTTCGGGATGTTGCGTGGGCACCGCCGATTCTTCCCAATGTCAACGTAGTAGCTTCTTGTTCCGAAGACCGCACTGTTTTGATTTGGACCCAAAATGGGAAGAACAAAGAGTGGAAGGCAAGTAAGCTCCACAAATTCGATGGACCTGTGTGGAGACTGAGCTGGTCTACCCAAACCGGGCATATTTTGGCCGTCAGCAGTGGTGATTCGGACGTATCTCTGTGGAAGAAAGGGATCGACGGCAAGTGGGAACAGATGGAAAGCATCGAAGAGCAAGCAACGAGTGAGGACGTGGTCCAAGGGTGAAATGAACAGACCCAATAACATAACTTTTTGTAGGATAATCATGATAAATTTTGGTCATGCCTCCCATAGGAGACTAAGAGAATTGGTTTTAAACAGCCCTAGATATTTCGGTCTTAATGTATTTTTCAAGGAGTGGATGTTACAATGTGSGTAAAGTAGTGCTTCCGATAATGGTGGTAATTTGAGGACGAAGCGAAGTAGTTCTCATCAATGAAGACGTGCAACTGTGTAGTGTATCATGAGCGTCGTTTCGACAACCTGTTGTTTTAGACGCTAGAACCCGGCGAGGGAAAAGTCAGGTTTGACGGAGCTTCCGCTTCTGTTCCTTCATCGGCTGTATAAGAAGTAGTTAGACTGTACGGGAATTTCGGGGCTTTCCACATGGTCAAGCCCGTGTGGTTGCTCATTCCGGCAAAAAATCCCTTTGWGGACGCGAGATAGTCGTGCGTGTGCGCACTAGAAGAAAACAGGGCCGAGTGGCCACTCATGCCCGTCCGGAAGTCGATGCCGTTGCTCGCTTGTCGGCCGTGCATTTCTCTCCAGGCGCGAGCTCCGGCCCTCAGAGCACTCGGGGAGGGATGGGAGGCCGACGTCAGTATTCGTGTCGGTGTATCCTCTACGTAGTGCTGGCCCCGGTGGTCGTGGCGGGGKGTCTGGGGGTAGGCATTCTGTTGCAACTGGTTTCGTTCCTGCACGCTCATGTTGTTGAACTCTCGGGCAATGGCCGGGGTGGGAGCTACGTTTGGAAGGGCGGGCGTCTGCGTTTCACTGCTGGACAATGGTGCGAATGCGTTCAATACATCGCTGCTGCTGCAGAAAAAGGAGCCCCTCGAACTCGGTCCCGGTGGTGTCATGGGGCGTTCGTTGAACCTCGGCTTCAGGGGCGTGCTATCCTCGTACGTATTGGTGGGTCGAATGGCTTCCGGTACCACAACGCCCGCGTTGTTGGAACGCGCGGGTTCCGGTGCGTTTGCACTCCTGGTCGCATCCAAGGGTGTAACATCTTGGTTTCTTGTCCGGACCGTTTGGGAGTTTGTAGAGCCACCTCCGCTGGGGTCGTTGTTTTCTAGGTTCTTGTGAAAGGTGTCGGCGGCAATGACCGTCAGATCTTCATCGGACATGAGCGACACCTGTAATTCGTTCATGAAGGCTATGAACTGATTGTCTATTTTTTTCTGTTCTTCTCGAAGTTTTTTTCTCCTCGTAGACATGAGCCGCAGCATGGCTTCTAGTTTGCAGGAACGGTCTACCGATCCTCCAACTGGTGATTCGAGGAAAACACAAGACAGAAACCAAAACACGACGGTGAGGATCGGAAAGAACAGAGAGGGAGGTAACACAAGCCAACCCCGACGAACCAAACACAAACACAAAAGCGAGCGAGCGATCGAGCGAGAGAGCAAGCAAGCAAGGAGGCAAGGTGACAAACGCGCAACACACGAGACGGGACGCACCCTTGACCAGCTGCTGGTGTCCCGCCCGAACGTATCCGTATCCCCGTGCCATTTTCGCCCATCCGTTCTGCGCCGATACGATCTGCACCCGGTCGCCCCAGCTGAGGCGTCCGGACGGACGCCCGGGGGGCGCCGTCTGCTCCCGTTGAAAGTCGCCCTCGGCGGTCYTCTTGTCGCCGCCGTTGGCGGCCAGGTCCTTGTTGTAGAACCTCACCAGCGTGTCGACGTCTTCCTCCGATTGCTGGACCAGCGAATCGGGCTTGTTGGGAAAGATTTCGAGGCCGTCCTTTGCCGACACGGCATAGGTCCCGCAGTCGCTGATCGCCAGGGAGGTTCCCGTCTTGATCTTCTCTTCCTCGTCGTATTCCAGGTCCATAACGGAGGGCTTGATCATGGGCGAGTCCTGGAGGGACGGCTCGTGTTCCTGGCCGTTGACGTTTTCGGTGGCCAGTTCTGTGGCCTCGATGAGGGACATGAGGACGACGTTCTTTGGCAGGACCAGCCGCCTCTTGACGGGGGGAGGCGGCTTTTTGGGCTGGTTCCTTGCGGCAGCGGCGTTCCGGGAGTTATTCACCCCCAGGCTCCGAGTCGACCAGCCGGGGAGCTGCTCCGCGAYCTTTGTGCATTCTTGGCTCTGCGGAACCAGCTCGTAGAGGGACGTTCGGCATTCCATGCACCGGTCGAGCCGGTGGGCGCAGACGTTGCAGATGTAGGTGTGCCCGCAGGGTAGGACCACCGGGAATCGTTTCTCGATGTCGAACTCCTCGTAGCAAATCATGCAGTGAAAGGAAAAGGGAGACGCCATTTTGATTTGTGTCTGTCTTTGTTTTGTCTTTTGATCGATCGATCGTGCGACGGTGTTGTTGCCGGGTCGTTTTTGGTTTTGTTCGCGTGTTTCGCTTTGCTTTGCTTTTCGAACCGATGGGGTCGGTGCACCAAAACTATCGCTGGAACCTTCGATCTAGATCCGGTCGAGCCGATGTCACGAAAATATCCGCACGGGTGGTTCTTTCGATCGATGGATCGTATTGATTGATTTGTTCGGGGTTGGGTTCTGGTCCACAGTCTGTTCTGTGCGAAAGAGAATTGACGCGTTGCGATTGCGATTGCGATGTGCTGCCGTTTGTTGCAAAAAAGGTGTGTGCGTGACACGATACCTATCGACGAAAGTTCTTCGAAGGAACCTGCTCGGTTGCGTATTGTTCTCGATAGTGCAACGACTGCAAATCTATCTTCCTTCCGCAGCCCACACCGGTTCGCAAATCGTTCTGGTGGTGTGTTTTTGTTCCGGTCGTTGTTGCCGATGCTGTCTCTGCTGTCTCTTCTTGTCAACGCTGGTTGCTAGACTAGCTGCATGCCAGTACGATGCATAGGCAGATTGGRATGGACGGTGGCCAGCAGTTGTAGATGGGCCTGGGAAAAGGGATCGAAACGACGGGCAGCTTGCACAGTTCGGAACGTTTTTGATCGATATTTTTCGCTTTTCTATGCAACAGTTGGGCTACGGGCGGTGGGTAGTTTACCGAAGGCTGCTTCAATCTACCGCACGGAACCGGTAGGCTAGGCTAGGCTGCCGTCGGGATACGGTTTCTGTTCTCCTTGTGTTATGCCGTACGAGGTACGTAGCGGGCGTTTGTACGTAAACGACGCGACACTACACGACCGGTTTGATTTTGAGAGGTGAGGAAGGTTCGTATCTCATACCGTACAGTACGGTACAGTATCGTATGTTACGTACGGTACTTTACCGTGCGATGCGATGGGGCGGGGTTGCGTTGACAAGAAGAATCCCATTTCAATCGTTTTGGAGAATTCGGGCGGGGTAGGCGTCAACTCGAAACCAAACGGGTCGATGGGTTGGTGGTGTTGGATGGGTTGTGGGATACGACAACGGTAGGCAGGCTTGGATTCACAAAGTTTTGCTTAAAAGGAGTGCCGAGATGTATGATTCGTTATATGAAATTTAAACAGAAATGAAGGTTGTATTGTTGTCTGCAGTTGGATTACCGTTGTTTTGACGTTTCAGAATGATGGCGATGGGTCGTGGTCGAATTGGATCGATTGAGTCGAATGTKGTGTTCGAATGCAACGAGCTCGCGCCAAAAATCCATGCCATTTCAAACCGAACTCGTACCGTATTTACGTACTCGTACTCCTAATACGAGGTGCCGTGGTAGCAGTCGCATCCCACAGCTCCACGAACGGACTACTTTCACTGCTCTTGCTCTTGCTCTTGCCCTATCCTGCCCTGCCCTGCCCTGCCCTGCCCCCACCAAAGCTTCTTCCAACGATACGAGCGAGTACGTACTTGTCGAGTGCCCTGTATCGTACCCGGTCCGCACCCATGGCCGCCAGCAACGCGAAGAGCCACGGCGGCGGCGGAAGGCGCCACCAGCTGGCCTGCCTGTACACCCGGCACAAGACGCAGAAACGAAAGGTCTGGAAGGAYGGCCGGCTGGTCCTGGACGAGRGATCGGGCAGGGCGGTCCTCCACGACGCGGATCCACCKCCGGGCGCGGGGGATCCCTCCCTGGGGGAGTCCGAGCTCTCCCCCGGGGAGTGCCTGGCCATTCTCCGCGACAAGAGCGGAGCCATCGAAACGGAGCGCTACCTCGTCGAGGTGGAGGGGCCCTGGGGGCCGGCGACCAATCCAGCCACGAACGCGGGTGCGGCCGCATCGACAAACACGGAGACAAGCGCACCGAGGCCTCTCGGTCRTTCGCGGCAGGGGCTGCGGGCCAGGAAAAACCCCATGGACAAACTCTATTCCTCCAAGTTCCAAACCCCGGGGGCCTGCATCCCCCCGCCGTCCCGTGCGAGCCGGGCGGAACAGGTGCTGGCGAAGCGGAAACGCCCGCTCCAGCCGGGAGAGCTCGTGGCGATGCACCACGGAGGCGGGAAGGGTCCCCAAGGGGCCGGCGATCGGTTCGGACTTTACCGGCAGCAGCAGCAGCCGCAGTATCATCATCAGCAGCAGCGGCAGGCGTCGTTCGTTCCGCACCATCCTCAGCCACATCTTCATCCGCAGCAGGGGCCGACTCCCCGCGATCGATACCAGGGGGGACATTGCCGTCCACCGGTCCCGGGGCGGACCGAAGAACGCACCGCGGGAAATCCCTCTGCGCTTCCACCCCAGCTGCCTGTTCCGCCGCGATCCGCCCACCGAGGGTCCCCTCCCGGGAATCCCCACACACCGCCGGCATCCGCTGCTCCTCCGGCACCCCCCGGCCCCTGGGGTTTCACGGCTCGGGGGCAACGCTTCGGTGSTCGTCGCGGCCGGGGCGGGGGCGGCAGCCACGGGTTTGCCCAAAACGAGTTCGATGCGGCGAGGTATTACGGAATGGACGACGACGACGACGACCAAGAGGAGGACGAAGGAGACGAGGGAACCGAACCATTGTCCGTGGGATTCTCGATCGCACCGGCAATTCCACCGCCACATGCGTCGCCGTCCGAAGCCCAGAATCCATCCGTCCGTTTCCGATCGGGAGGACCAAGCTCACCGGGGGTCGGTGGGTGGGGCAGCAATCACCAACGGGATCGCGGGGAAGGCAATCGCCACAAAATCCGAGCTTCGGACGACACCGAGGGAGTGTCTCGAGTTGACACGGCTTCTGTGAGCAACCATCCGTCCGGGGAAGAGAGGGATCGGGATCCTCKGGACAAGTCCCACGGCGATCGACCGCAGCCGGGAGAACTCCCACCAAGCGATCCAAACCACAATCCACGACAGCAACCRCCGAACGACCCACGMACCCGTTCCCAACCACCGACACACACAAGTGGCAGAATGGGGGTGCGGGAGGAAACCACCARCAGCGGCTACAAGACCAGAGACGAGGGTTCTACTCCACCGAGCCAATCTACCGGGGGGCAAACGAAAAAGCTCGATGCCGACGAGGTCCGTGGGACCCAAGGCCGGGAGCCGGCGCGTCCTCCGGGGACAAACCATTGCAACCACGACGAGGAGAGGGATCTCGACAGCGAGAGCGACTCCGACGACGAATCCCATCACGACGACCGTGGGTTGGGGGGTGTTGGATGGCCGTCCTCGTTTCGATTGAAGCCCTTCGAACAGTCCCCGTCGGACGGAACCGCAAACCAGAAGCAAGCTGGCACCGGTTTCACCGCGTCGTCGTCGTCGTCGTCGTCTCTGTTGCCTGGGAACCGGCTCCTGGCTCTCTTTGGGGCTGCATCCGGGACCAGTGGGGACGGCGAAAAGGAAAACTCCGTGCCGAAAGCACAGGGGACGACACCGGACAACGTTGCGGCAGACAAGCCCGGTGGCGCTGCTACGGCGACAAACGACGTGGACCGCGGSCCGAACCCGGGGAAACCCGCTGCCGGCTGTAGTGGATTTTACCTGGCGCCTACCGCTTCGTCGTCGGAAGAATCTTCCAGCGACAGCGAGGAAGAATGAGCCACCTACCGGATTGGCTCGGGTCGAATCGATGCTACAAGCTGAGACCACCATCCATACTTTATAACTTTCTAAATCGGTTATTCCGTTCTGAGCTAGTAGTACACTTACTTGATTTGGCGGGGTTGTGCGATTATTTTTTCCCACTTCTATTGTAACAAACGAAACACCATTGGCACGTATCCTTTTCAAGGGCAGGCTGGCATCGAACTCCGCTACCGCCGTTCGGAACCCTTTCTTTCCGGTGCGTCCTGCACACCCTTGGCCCGTCGGGCATCCGATTTTTTCGACGCAGCTTCGGTCGGAGCGCTGTCGTCCTCGTTGGCATTTGTATAGTCCCCSAATCCGAAGCCATCGCTGTCGTCGTCGCTGTCGTCGAAATCGTCCAGGTTCATTACCTCCAGGGCGGGGTTTGGAACCATTCCATCGCCGTCGCTTCCGGCGCCTTCCCCGGGTCTCTTCGGATCTCCGGCATCGAAATCCATCGGGGCCGGCAGGTTCATGGCTTGCCTCAATCTCACCAGTCGATCCCAGTCGCTGCTCAAAACGACCACGGTGAGAGCGCTGCACGCGGTGGCGTAACCCACGACCAGCGAACCGGCCACGGCGTTCAGGTCGAAGCGAAAGACGAAGATGGAAACCAGTGCGCAGGGCATGGTCACAAACCACCTCGAAAAGAAGACCACAAACGTTGCCAGCTGGTACCTTCCCTGCGACCCAACCACGGACCAGCTAATGCGAGAATAAGCCATGATGATGTTGGCAACACCGATCATGGCAATGGTGTTGTTCATAATGTGCTGCATAGCGGGATCGGAGGTGAAGAGAACGGCCAGGTACTGTCCTGTCATGTAGAGCGTCGAAGTGACCATGACCGACTGGATGACGGCCATATATATGGCGCTGTACGAAAGGTTTTTCGCACGATCAACCTGGCCCGCTGAGAGCAGATAACATATCTTGTTAGCCGCCGCCTCGGCTAATCCCTCGATCAAAGCTTCAAAGAAGTCCCAAAGCAATCCCAGCAAAGCCCATGTCGCAACTGTTTGTTTTTGAGTCCAAACAATGAAACGAGTCAAAACAAACGTAAGAAATATTCGTGTTCTATGTGATGTGCAGACCAATTAACGAGTGCATCATTTACCTTCGGCAGGTCCTAAGCTCCGTATACAAAGTGTTAAAATTTCCCATTCCCCATACTCCAGCACACCCCCGATAAAGAGCGGCACCACAGCTTTAAAAAGGTGAAAAATCCCAAACTTGTAGTTCCACAGTGCCACATTTTGAAAGATACCTTTATGGTACGGTTGCATCCAGCCCCTAGCTTGCGGGTAGGTTATTTTCATTATTGCCGACGACACAGTGATCAAAACTAGAAAAAAAACATATCAGAAACGTTGACATCGCTGTCAGAAGCAAGCAGCACATGATGCAACCCACATCGAGATTATCACAACTCACCTTGTATATACGCCACGGTGTTCAAGTTGACTCCATCGACCAAAACTAAAATGCAAGCAATAGCAACCACTTGAATAACCGCTGCTACAAGATCGATGACGGATTCGAAGTGTTGGTGACCACGAATTTGGAAAACAACCGTCAGCGTTCGGCTGAGTGCTTGGACCATGTAAGAAGCGACTACGATGCTTGCATAACTCCCGGCAATGTTAGCAATTTCGCGATTGTTGACCAGCCACATCACAAACTGCGGCATAAAAATAGCCCATACCAAAAGAAGGGGGATGTTCAGCATGACTTGTACTATGAACCCCAATTGGATGTATTGTCCCGCCATGTAGCTTCTATCCTTGGCCTCAACATCCGTCCTGTCCATAGAGGCTTGGACAAAGGAGGAGAGCGCATCGATAATGGCACCCGCTAGTTCTTCGCTGGTAAGTCGTACAAAAAGTCCAACCAGCAAGTATGCTTCGCATTAAAATTCAAAAACAAGCATGTTCATTAAAAACAAATTCGAAAATATCTTCGCTGAATAATACTTCAATTTTACGAACGCACCTATCATTGACTCAGTTCCAAGTTTTTGGGAAATAAACGCTATTGTGATCAGCCGAAATAGTGCTTCCGAGCAAGCTCCCAATGTAAGGGGTACAGATTTGACCAATACGTTCCATTTTTCAAAATCGGGAGTGGCAAGTGACAAGAATCCCTCTATTGGAGCACAAACCGCCCGAGACTGGCCAACTTTGGGCCCACCAGACATATCCGGATGAGACAAGTRTTTCTCATCGGTTTCAGTGAAGTGGTTACCCCGACCTGGATCCATGGCATCAGCAGCATCATTGGGAGAAATATCGTCAACGATCGAAGACAAGGCCGAGGCGGAAGAGCTTCGGCTACTTCTTCCCATATTGTAGCGCGGTTCATACTGTYGAATTGCTAGCATGTGTCGATGTTCACCTTGTGGTAGATTGTATTGCTGGTAAAGTTGTTGCTGTAACTGAAGTCGCTCGAGGTTGAACTGCTTCATCATGGAAATATCAAGTTGAATTTGTGGCTGGTGATGTAGTTGATGATGTTGCTCACTTAGGATAGTACTAGCCACATCGCTCATAACTCTGCGTGCTCTGTGTTGTTCTTGTGGAACAATTGGAAGGGTGTTCAAATTGGTACTGTTGAGGTTGAGGTTGCTAAGTCTATTGTTTTGACTTTCTGCAATGGATGACGAGTTCCGTTTGATGACGTCAACGCGTCCAATTGGTCTCCGATTTTTCCAGCGCCGCCCTCCGACATCCAAAACTCGCCTTGAAAACCCCTTGTTGGAAGGGTTACCACCATGTTGGTAGAGTTTACTAGTAGTTGCTGCACTGGGAACGCTACTAGAGACTTCGTTGGTTCGATTTGGATCATGGTGATTCCGACTACTGCTACTGGGTTGATTCGAAGCTGTTGGTTGAAATGCTTGATGTTCGTGTTGCTGCTGTCGCTGTTTCCTCACGTTATTGCTTGAAGATTTCTGCTTAATTTGACTCTGAATTCCATGGTTTAAAGGCTGCTGTGAAAATAAGTGAGCAATATGGTTTTGAAAGTCTGGATCTTGGTCTGGGTAGCTTTGGTGGAACTGCCGCTGCAAAGCATTTCGTATAGAGGGGGAACGACTCTTACTGGAAGAAGTGCTGGTCCTTGATGAACCCCTTTTGTCGATACCGATGGACGATGATGACGAGAGCCTCGACGAGAAACGCTCACCATGTTCATCACTTGATGATGGCATTTGGCTCCTCACTGAATTCTTTGGCTGTTCATTCCTAATTGTGTCACGATCACTGCCAGTACGCCTCGTTGTTGTGGTTTCTTGTGTAGAAGAGTCATTCCTTTCTGTACTCTTTCTTGTTACCATGTCCAATGACCAGTGATTGTCCAATGCGTTTCTTGGTGGCTTTCGGGGCTCTTGTGGCACTTCTGCTCGTGGCAGGTGTTTTCTGTTTTCGTTTTGATCTTTGTATACCTTGTTTGAATTTTCTTTGTTGAACTCGCGCGATGTGTCCACAAATTCCCTTTGTTTCTGGTTTCGAATCCACAGTACTATSGGACCAATCAAAATAAATGCTAACAGCGTATAGGCAGCTACAAAAGCGTAAAATTCCAGACCAGGTTGACCTGACTCTACTTGATAGTCCATGAACGGTTCGGGCCAGTATGAGTAGTATGATGTATCTGTCTCCATCTCCGTCTCTCCTTTCAGCTTCATCTCCACCTCCATCCCGCCCATCATCGCTCTCGTTAAAACGAGGTACGGATTGTTGGAGGCCGATTATTCTTAGTCTGCAAGTTTACTGCTCGTTCAGTGCGGATCACCAGAGGATGAATATGTGTTCGTGGCTATTTTATTACACACTATCGTACGGTACGGTTACTGGTGTTCGGTACCTGGTATCCTAAAACACCCTACGGTACGGTACATTGTGGAGTTAAGAAATACTACTATCAAATACCAGGGGGTTACGTCGGGATCAACATGAATTATTCTTAATTCTGGATATGTGACTACTACTGGTTTTGACACGATCAACCGGGCAATAGTACTCCCTCTCTCGAAACAAAAACTTCCAGCAATGACAGACCTTCGTTGCATGGGCGATTGATCAGTGAAAAGAATCCATACTTAAAAGTCTCGCAAWGAAGTGTACAATGCGATACTGTACATAAATTCGAAAATAATCTAACTCTTCAATTCTTATTTAAGTTTTTGTTTCTTAAAATGAATGATTCAAGTCATTTATTATTACCGAAACAAATAACAACATAGTAATTGTTGAAGGACAGACGGGCGCGCGCTTGGCCACCGATGCCGGAATGCACAAAACCATAAAAATGTGAGAAGTAATCACAAACCAAAGGTAGGGAGATGTCAGAGCCCAAGGGTTTTCTGGATTGTCTCTCATACTTTTCTAATTTATCTAGTCAATAGGATTAAGATTCTTTAAGGCTTCGTACATTGCGTATCGAAACAACATAAATTAGAAAAGTAGCACCTACAGCTCACACAAAAGTACAGTGCCAGCTGCAGAGCCGAACATAGAATACGGCGAACAAGGGACCCAAGGGACCAGCGAAGCAATCCAAGGATTGACAACGACGAAAGAAATGTCGACAGGGGGAGACAAGAAGTTCACTCCCGGAGGAACCACCGAAAAGCAACAGGTGAAGATGGAACATCATGACTCTTCAATAAGAGATAGTGAATGGACCGAGCAAAGGAGCAAAACAAGACAAAAGCCACAAAACAACAACAACACTAACTATATCACGACAAAGAAGTTCGGAGGTCACGACCGAGGGGCTCTGGAGGGGATTGTGTTAACTGAAAATGGAAGTTTAACACAATTCACAGAGCTACATGAGAGACTCCAAACCCTAGGAGGATCCAAGTACCTGCCCGAAGTTGGAACGTCCATCGAACTACTTACAAGACTGGAAAGGATTGATTTCATGCCAAATGAGCCAAATCCGGCTGACTGGACCTCAGGAGGAAAGGAGGTGACAGCCGTGAAGGCTGGGCTTATGAGGATGTATGATGAAGAGATCAAGGCGGCAGCCAAACAGTACACCGCGTACACCACCGATATGAAGAAGCTCTACACTGTAGCTCTCGGACAGATCGACAAAGGAATGAAGGAAAAGCTTAGGAGCTCAGACAAGTGGGATGAGCTCAATAGACTAAAGTGCCCAGTTAAACTGCTCATGCTGCTCCGAGATATATGCTATCAAGGAAACCAGACTAAACTGCATCCAATCACCAACATAATGCGGGCAATACGGAAGCTGGTATGCTCACGACAGCGACTCAATGACAACGTCACTTATGTGGATGCTTTAAAACAGCATCGGGATGTACTGGAGGCAATTGGAGGAAGCATCCTAGGGCCGGCAATCATCAAGTATGAGCTTGAAGTGAACAGCAGCAGCTACAATGGGATGACCTACCACAAGTACACGGAATTACCACACGGAGATCCAACTAAGGAAAGCATCGACAGATCTGCAAAACAGCAGATCATAGCCACACTGATAATCGAGGGATGCAATGAGGAGACTACCATTCTCAAGGAGACCCTGGAGAACCAGTATAGCATAGGAGTAAACAAGTATCCAACAACACCAACGCAGGCGTTGGACATGTTGAACTCTTTCAAGGAAAGCAGGAAAGGCGGAGCCAAGAGCCACACCGGTGGCAAGAAGCCCAATAAAGGAGTCAAGGGGTACCAGGAGGCCACAACATTTGTTACGGCAAGTGCAGTATCAACACCAGAACACGGCGGTGGGATGGACGGACGCCACAGTATTGATGCGGATGATCATGAGGAAGAGGTGCACCTGACCAGTCATCAGCTACTACTGCGGGCCGTAGAATCCAATGAGGAGGACTTTGGGGACAGCGAGGCCCACTGTTTCTTTCAGCGAGGAGTGATGACAACGGACAATGCGGTCACTAAGGGAGCAGATGATCAACCAGGAGCAGGGCAGATATTCCGATACAGCCCAGCGGTTGAGCGACTGTTCGCACAGCACAGCGAATACCACAAGGATGGAGGAGTGAACCCAAACTGGATTTTGCTTGACAGTGAATCATCATGCAACCTGATAGTGAATCGAAGCCTACTGAAGAACATCCGGAAGGCCCCACATGGACAAATGATGCACATATACTGTAACTCAGGCATTGCACAGACCAACACCATTGGAGACTTACCCGGATTTGGGAAGGTGTGGTTCTATGAAGAAGGGATAGCAAATGTGCTGTCACTTGCCCTTGTATCAGACCGTTTCCGGGTTACCATGGACACTGAATGCGACAATGCACTTCATGTACACAGGCCAGATGGGGGAACTCGAAGGTTTGGGAGATCAGCGTGTAATCTATACTACTGTGACCTCACGACAACGAATGGAACAATACTGACAATCACCTCAGTTGAAGGGAAGCAGGCGGAGTTCTCAGACTTGGATTGCCGGCGGGCAATTAAGGCCCGGAAGCTACAGGAGACCATGGGTTTCCCAACATCAAGAGACCTCATACACATGATTGAAAACAAGCTGGTGACCAACTGTGGGGTCACGCGACGGGACGTGCTAAATGCGGACATGATATACGGAAAACATGTCAGTATCGTAAAAGGGAAAACCGTCCGCAAGCAAGGAAGCCACGTACGAGAGGATGTAGCCCCAGTACCAGTAGAAGTACTGGAGCGCTATGGAAGAGTAGCTTTGCATATAGACATGATGACAGTCAATGGGATTCAATTTTTCCACTCAATATCACGACACTTACGGTTCAGGACAGCCAGAGCAGTGACCAACGCCCGACAAGCCACCCTGTTGGACTGTGTGGAGAGCCTAATCGGGCAGTACAGGAGCAGAGGTTTCACCGTAGCTCAAATCAGTGGAGACAATCAATTTGAATGCTTGCGAGACAACCTGCTAAAGCTAACACCACCGGTTGACCTGCACTGTGTGGCAGCAGGACAACATGAACCAACCATTGAACGCAGTAACCGTACACTGAAAGAGACTGTGAGGTGTTATGTGAACCATCTTCCATTCAAGAAACTGCCAAAGCGCTGTTTAATTGAGCTGATATACACGGCAGTGTACTGGCTCAACTGTCGAACTACAGGAGTGGACAGGACCAAATCAGTGCGTGAACTCATGACAGGAGTATGTCTGAATGCAGGACAAGATTGCAAGTTTCAGTTCATGGAACCAATCCTGGCCCATGTGGATGACACTGATAACACAATGAAAGCACGTGCAGTGGATGCCCTGTACCTCAGGCCTACTGGGTTCACCACAGGAGGCTTCTATGCTTTCGACATAAACACCTGCAAGAGGATCCACCGCAAGTCAGCCACACCAACCCCACTCACCAAGGGGATGCTGCGGCAGGTGACACAGATTGCTGAAGCACAAAAGATGCCACAGGGAATATGCTTTGGAGATGCAAGTGGAAACACTACAATCCTCGACCTTGACACCAATATGAACCACGATGATGACGATGCATCTGATGGCACATACAACGATAACAAGGATCATAACATGTCAGTAGAAACCAGACTGAGTGAGTATGTGGATGAAGATGTGCGGGATGACGTTAATGCGACCGAGGAAACAGAAATGCAGCAAAACGAGCACCCACTCACTGTGGAAGAGGCGGTCGATAGCACAGAGGAGGAGCACATGACCACGGAAGAACCCCCAGAAGGACAAGAGGAAGAAGGTGCATATGTGAGTGAGGAAGTGGAGACCATAGTTGAGGAACCAGTGGAGCCCGTTAGTTCACGGCTTCGCCAGCATGTCACAAAATCACACAACAAGTTTGGTGAGGGGGACGGCTTCACAAATACAACACACACAAGAAGATCTTTCTTTACCGCGGGGTATGTGCGCGCTGTCGAACAGCTTGGAAAACAGGAGAGGGCTGTTATGATGGTAGCAAACGCCATAGCAAACTACAACAATCTCGAGGCAACACATGCAACCAAACAGTATGGAGTGAAGGAAGGGATACGAAGGTTTGGGGAAGCAGGAGTGGCAGCGGTACTAAAGGAACTACAGCAGCTGCATGACAGAGGAGTGGTGTCAGCACTGGACCCAAAACAAGTGACAAGGGAGATGGTCGCTCAGGCACTGCCATATCTCATGTTCCTAAAGAGAAAGAGAGATACCTCAATCAAAGGAAGGGGGTGTGCTGATGGCAGACGGCAGCGAGAGTACATCCGGAAGGAAGATGCAGCGTCGCCGACAGTATCACTGTATGCATTGGTATTGTCATGTGTGATAGATGCAATTGAATGTAGAGACGTGGCAACTGTTGACATTCCCGGAGCTTTCCTACAAACACCAATGCCAGAAGGTGAGGATGTGTACATTAGACTCGATGGGACCATGGCAGAGCTTCTATGTAGAGTAAACCCAAAGATGTACCGGAAGTATTTGGTGAACAAGAATGGGAAGAAGACCTTGTTTACAAAGGCTGAGAAGGCTATCTATGGAACCCTGAGAGCTGCACTATTATTCTGGGAGAAGCTATGTGGGCAGCTTGAGGAGTGGGGTTTCAAATTGAACCCATATGATCCCTGCACAGCCAACAAGGTGATAAATGAAAAGCAATGCACCATTGTGTGGCACGTGGACGACCTCAAGATATCGCATGAGGATCCGTCTGTAGTGACTAGCATCATAGATCAACTAAATGAGACATTTGGGAAGGAATCACCACTGACCGAAACCCGTGGGAAGATCCATGATTATGTGGGAATGACCATTGACTATTCGGAACAAGGGAAGGTGAAGTTCAGCATGTTTGACTATCTGGAAGAGATCATCCAAAACCTCCCGGATAGCCTAAAGGGACAAGCAGCAACCCCGGCGTCAGAGCATCTGTTCAAAGTGAATGAGGAGGCAAAGAAGGTGGATGCGGACCATGCGGAAAAATTCCACCACTACGTAGCCAAGTTACTATTCATGGCAAAGCGGGCCCGCCCCGACATACAGACAGCAATCGCCTTCCTGTGTACCCGCGTGTCAGCGCCCGATGAAGATGACTGGAAGAAACTGCGGCGTGTGATGAGTTATCTAAGCGAGACCCCGTATATCCCACTCGTGCTGGGATGGGATGGGAGTGGAAATGTGTACTGGCACGTAGATGCAGCATTCGCCGTTCATAATGATATGAGGAGCCATTCAGGAGGAGTGATGACATTCGGAACGGGAGCAGCAATCACCACATGCACAAAGCAAAAGCTGAACACAAAGAGCTCGACAGAAGCAGAGGTGGTAGGAGTGGATGACAATATGACTTTCATTCTGTGGGCGAGGTATTTCCTGCGGGCGCAACACCAGCACATGACGGACAATATTGCGGACAGCAGAGATGACCAACCCAACAGCCCATACTTAGGAGGGACCAATGTCATATACCAGGACAACGAGAGTGCAATAAGGCTCGAGAGGAATGGGCAGAGATCCAGCACCAAGAGAACTAAGCACATCAACATCCGGTATTTCTTCGTGACGGACAGGATCAAAAAAGGGGAGGTTACGGTGGAATACTGCCCAACAGACGATATCATTGCCGACTACTTCACCAAGCCACTGCAAGGGAGCAAGTTCCGGAGATTCAGGAACATTATCCAGGGTGTTAGCGAGGACGAGTGTGTAAAGTACAAGCAAGCTTACTATGCTGCAAAAGAAGCAGCAAGGACCGCGAGCGAGTGATCTGGTCCTAGTGATGAACACTGCTATCATAAGACAGTACTGAATCCTACGTGGAACAGCCGTAGGATCCAACGAGTCCCACGAAAGCAGCGAGGAGTGTGTTGAAGGACAGACGGGCGCGCGCTTGGCCACCGATGCCGGAATGCACAAAACCATAAAAATGTGAGAAGTAATCACAAACCAAAGGTAGGGAGATGTCAGAGCCCAAGGGTTTTCTGGATTGTCTCTCATACTTTTCTAATTTATCTAGTCAATAGGATTAAGATTCTTTAAGGCTTCGTACATTGCGTATCGAAACAACAGTAATAAACAAAAAACTTTTTACTTTCGATATGAACGAGTACGAATACATAGCCCGTACGATACGTACTKTACTAGTACTCATAATGAGAAATAGTCGATTTTTCAACGGTCAGCGGCGACGGACGTCAGACATTCCGCTTACTAACGATTGGTCAAGAGGGACAACCACGATATCGTGCGCAGAACCTAGATTAAGCCTGCGATCATGTTTATAAGCCCTCCATTAAGCACTTTATGAATGACGGTATTGCCGCAGTTGTATTACAGTACGTATTCTGTTCGTTCTTCGAGGAAATTGGAGTTTGGGAAGTACAGTGGTATCGTACGCACTCGTACTTACGGTACAACTCGTACTCGACATGACAAGTACAGTATTGAATACCGTACGTACATACGGTACTAGCAGGGGTCATAAATTTTTTGATCCCTTCCTACCGGTACGGCAATCGGCAGTAGACCCTGACTGCTACTTGGAGTACGTGAAAATCGCGAAGCAAAGCTCCCAATCGCCCTTCGCATCATTTGCTGAGTGATGGGTGACTGAAAATCTTCATCATTACTTGTAGTGCTGCATTTCTTTCGTGCGGTTCGTTTGCGGGATTCATTCACAGGAAGTTAACACGAGTGGCCTAAACGCTCTCCAGGACTGGAAGAACTTTGAAATTTGAGGTCTTTTCTTGCAGGAAGGTGCTCGCGGACAAAAAATAATGATGAAAAAGCGTACTGGTACGAATACGAGTACTCGTACTCCCTCCGTTAAATGATCACACCTCACCGTAATAAAAAAATACCGCTCTCATACCGGTAGTCCCTTTCACTACAAGAGCGWACCGTAGCCTATGCTACGGTACGATTCCATACTTGTACGAATATCAACCGCCGAGAAATTTATGTCATTTTGGTGCAAACAAAACGGAATTGCACGGTACATCGTCAAAGGGATCACAGTTTGATGGAACTCAAACCTTGCCGAAGTACGACATACAGTAGTCAACAAGTACTATATCCGCAGCCCAGTTGAATTTCACGTGAAGGGTCCTTTTTAATTCTTCGGTGAGCAGAGAAGACCTATTCAGTTGCAATTGGGTCCTGTTCGGGGAAATAGTATCTTGAGAACGAAACTATGGAAGTAATTGATGGCGATGGTATGATTGTCTCTGATCTTGATATATCTAAAACTCCTCTCGGGGCAAACGAGGATATGGAAAATTCTGATATGGTTTCGAATGCTGGTGATATTCTTGTCGACCCGACACAAGGGATAACTACAWCAGAGTCCGTAGTGGCGGTCACAACAACCTGTGGAATTGCAACTCAAAGACATACCCCCCAAACTCTTGGGAAAGAAGACTTGGATGTACCATTGAACTACGACCATTCAAGTTTGAGCAACGAATTAGATCAAACCGAGAAGACTAAAGAAGAGACCATTAAGGAAAAGCCGTTGTCCTCGATAATAGCTACCAATCTCGATCAAGATACGAAAATAAGTACGCGTAGTTCAAGATCTGCTATAGTTGTGCCTGGGGACGAGGAAGATTCTTCAACAGAACCAGTAACGGATGGAAGAATGGAAATAAAGAAAACTCTGAATTTTATCGCCTCGGAGACAACGAAGGTTAACAATGCTGCTAGTTCGAAACTCGACACGACATTATTTGCTTCCGGTGCAGAGACCATGGTAGATTCGTTTGGAAATCATTTGGACGAAGCAGCTGATGCAAAATCTGCATCTAACCTCATCATAGACACTTCAGGTCCTTCACAAGAGGCTGAATTACAAGTAATGGAGGTTTCCTCTCTTGACAGATCATCTTCAGACCAAAAAGGATTGTCTTGTTTTCATGATTCCCATTACAACAAAGTCAACAGTAATAGTGTCGCAAAGGAACCGGGTACTCAACCACTGGCTCAGCCACAGCAACCGCAACACCCTTCTTCTTCGACGTGGATGGGAAATCGCCATCAGGAAAAGCATTATCTCTTGATGTCGCTTCCTATCGACTCCCTGCACAGCATAGCGTCCTTTTTGACACCAATCGAATGGCGAGATTTTGGTCAATGCAGCAGCGGGACCAACAAGATTTCAAAAGAAATCTTTCGCCGTGTTCGAATGCACGGATTTCGGTGTGCCACCGAGGTGGTAACGGCTTTGGTAAGTGGTAAACACGACTGCTGTAGTCGTTCGGTGTGGGACGCACTAAATTTTTTGTTGGGTTCATAAAATCAAGATAGGTGTCAGCGATTTAAATCCACCAATAGCAATGATTTTGTGTCTCGCATGGTGCCACCAGCATTCGTGTGGTTTTTGTGCTTTTCGATGAGAACGAAGTGCGGCTCACATCAAACGGTTATTTGTTTTTCGGTTTTGGATTGGCTTGGCGTTACAAAAATAGAAATGTGGGCAACACGCGGATGCAAAAGAACTTTGTGCGCTTTACGTAAGTGCGGGCGTTCCTATTTACCCTCATTCACTGGGTCACTCTTACCATACTCTGATTTGGAGATTGTCGATTGAGGTGAAGCAGTTGCAGGAGCAGCAAACGAAAAATAGCATAAATTCTGTCGATATATCAACCCCACCAAATGCACCGGGTGCCCCCCGGGCTGCTGACGAAACGATACCTGTAGATCCATTTTACAATGAACGTGATGATATGAGGATGAGAGAGGAATTGATTCTAGGCTCGGGAAGGGTAGGTCTTACTTATCTGGAAGAAAAGGCCATGCACAAGTTGAATTCCAAGTACACTGAGTCGCATGCAGATAGAATCCGGAGTGTGAACTGGAGGCGAAGATCGACGAACGCGCGAGGATTACCTCAGGTTCCTTTCATGCCGCCTCCGTTCCCTCCTACAGCAAGCGGTAGAAGAGAAACCCACGCTGATTGGCACGCAGCAGGTCGTTGTGCCAGCTCCCGCGGTCAATTAAGTCGTTCCAACTCTTTCTCTGGCAGCCGTTTCCGGACACCAAGTACCATTCTAAAAGTCCATCGTCATCTGCTTGACCAACATCTCTTGGGCCGGTCAGGAGTCGACGATGGAGAAGGATCTATGCCCACCCCACCAGTTAGTCTTTCGGCTGATTTCTTTCATCCTTTTTTCTCGTTTCTTTCCACCGAAGAAACTATGCGTAACCGAAGCAATGGGAGCGACAGCATGGGTCGTACTACGACTGGAAATACTAGCTTATTACCTGCCTATTATCAACCAGTTTCCGGTAGAAATCTCGAAAGCGACGAAGATACAAATGATGCCAGGCGGGCTGGATCTATGGGTTCTAATTACACGGATGACTCTGACAGCGACTTTGAAGCAGAAATGATGCACCCACGCCCGGATATCATGGAACCTCTACGCCTTCGCAATGCAGACGAGATAGTGGCAGCTGGAGCAGCCATGCAACCACCTGCTATGGTTCCGCCTGTTCCCCCGATGGTTTCCCTTGGTACCAGACCCACGTCCGCTTCCGCGTCTATCATSTCCGAAATGCGAAAGTCTTCCCATCAACTCACAGTCCAAAGTGGTATTCTTTCCAACATTGAGTTGGACGTATACAGTACTTCCTCGAAGAGTCTCAAAATAGGCGATGATAGTAAAGCTGGACGGCAGTTGAGTCATTACTTAAAGGGGCGTTTTGCGGCCTACCATCGTTGTTTGGAGAGACATATCTCGAAGAATGACAACGATGGTTTCGAAGAATGCATCTTGGACTTTTGGGACGAGTTCTTGCCTCAGACTGCTAATATCCATTACTATGATAAGCATACGGCAGTACCAAGGATATCCCGCCTCGATGAATTCTTGACCAAACCTTGCCCAAAGGCAGTTGGTATTATACAATGCGAGATCGAAAGGGTAAAATTGGGTTCAAAAAATAGTATGAAGGGGCGCTTTTTCCCGACCTACGAGTACCGTCTATTCATCCGACATCGTCCTGCTGATCCAATGAGTGATTTATTCGATAGTCAGGGCTTGATTGATGGCATAGAGCGCCGAGACACGGTTTTGATGATGGCGAAAAATCGGGGTCGTAAACACACGGAAAGTTCAATGCAGGCATCGAAGAAGGGATCAAACAACTACTACTTGAGTCTACCGTTACAAGATGATTTGGATCTTCATCACAGGAGTGTTAACAGGCTCGAAGAAACGAAGAAACCTTCTCCAAACGGTGCTGGCTTGCGAACCTGCTCGTCGGACCTTTCCGGTCAGTTGGGCCGTCTACAGAGCAACTTTGTCGGTACCGAGTTTCAAATTTTTACATCCCATTTGTCGATGATGAGAAAAAAGCCCGATTCGTTACTTTCTAAATCAATGCATTCTCCGACTATGTCTGATGACGAAGCACTTTCTGATAGTGGACGACAAGGTGAATCGTCGCGGAGACGAAGCTGTTTTGGTCGRTTGTCGCTAAGAGGAAAAAGTAACAATGATGGCAGATGGACGGACTTTTCAGAACCTCCTCAGCCACATTCATCTCCTCTCGCGTTGCTACGGCCRCGTTCTGGTGATGCTACACCTGGAAGAAATAGAAAGGTCAGTGCCGCTGAATCTTTTGAGTCGAAACAGTACATAGCCGAAACCCAGCCTTTGTTTTACGAACAGGAAGACGGAGCTATTACGTATACGGCAAACTTGCTAGGGAGCCGTCCCAGAATTATGGATGTCTGTATTCCGAGAGTGAATCATGATGGAGTAGGAGTAGAGTGGAAGAGATACCTTGAAAATTGCAAAGATCACGATGGATCTTCCAAAGATCGATTGTTAAATCATCTGAAACAATTGCAGCAAAATGGTCAAATGGACGAGCACGGAAGATTGATMAATCCAGCCAGCGATGATCCAGAKGTGATTGCCACCGGTGAACAAGAATATTCCCCACCGGGTGAYTTCGGACTAATGACTCTGCAGAATAGACCACCATGGTGGAACGTGGAACTGGGGTCCTTCGTCTTGAATTTTGGAGGACGAGTTAGTGTGGCATCAGTTAAGAACTTCCAGCTATGCGACCGCCGAGACCAAGACCACATCATGCTACAATTCGGAAGAATTGAGGGACGGCACGCATTCACGATGGATTTCCGATATCCTTTGACAGCAGTACAGGCGTTTGCCATAGCAATCTCGTCACTTCAGTCTAAGATATCCTTTGGATGAGTCCATTAAAGAGATCTTGATACAAAGCCATACATTCTAAACTAAAACAAATCATGATCCATCCAATATATATATATATATATATACATATATATATATCCAATTTACATCCAGGCTTCAAAATATTCAGATATTTTTGCTTTTTCAATTCGTGTCTTGCGGTTGCCAACATTGCGCTCCGCTCACATTTCGAACTTTTGAATGTTCAGCTCAGGCTTGTATTTCTCGAACTGCTCTGCATCCCATGTTTCATAAGGAAGACCCATTCGTTGAAGCTCTTTCTCGGCGATCTCCCCCCACCAATCTGAGCACTTCACAGGGTGGTTCATTCCAAGCGTCAGAGCACGCATACGYACCGACATAAAGCTAGCCAAGACAAAATTGTCCCTTTAGATACAGGTTCCGGTCGAGGAGAAATAAAGAGGGCATCGGGCGTGAGTGGAACATTTTCAGACCATTATTGTCGATTCGCTATCTCACCAGAATTCAATTTCTACTTACGGTGTCTCRTACCAAGGGTCCTGCGCTTTCAAGTCATCCATGAACTGCTGGACGTTTTTCCCACCAGTCACCTCATTACCCCACGAATCGAAGCCGAACTGGGCTAGTTTGTAATGAATGTCGGGATTCATGTACTTCGATTTGTATCCACCTGTTTTAGCCATGGTCCAAATGGTATCTYTGTCTCCCCGGGCCAATGCTGCGTACATAACACAAACGCAGAGTCGCTCGTTCTCTGACAATCGTTTTGTGGCACCATAGTCAATGAGGCCGATGCGTCCATCTGGCAACAAAAGAAAATTTCCRCCATGAGGGTCGGCGTTAAAGCATCCATCGATCATAAGCTGGTGCCCGTGGATGCGCATCAGGGTATCGACGATGCGGGGAGTATTGGGTGGAATCGATGATTGGATRTACGATAGCTTTCCGTCCTTGGAATCACGTTTTTTCATGGATGGCACGCAATTGTACAAGGCAAKCAATACGTTGGTACACGAAGTCTTCACTCGTACCCACTTTTGRTACATTGCAATCTGGGAAGCAGATGGCCCATCGTATTTGTCAGGGATCCCTTCTTCTTCTATCTTTTTTCTTGCCTGCGTTTCCATTCGTTTCAGGGTCGTCCCGTTTTCCTTCGCCCATTTGGCGTAGTACGCTCGCATGCCGTCGATGAGTTTCGGACCGGGTAGCAACTCCATGACCAGCATTCTCTTCGTCGTCAGATCGGCAATGGGTTGGGGGACCAGGGCATCCCTCGGCTGAAATCCGTGAAGCGTCATGTTGCGAGAAATTTCCAATAGATTGTTTGCTTCGTTGTTGTAGTCGAGTTCCGCTTTGTTCTGGTTCTCGAGAGCGTCGAGGGTGCACACCTGTTCGGGAGCGAACCACTCGCAGAGTTTTCGGATCGCATGGATGTCATCGGTGAACAATTCCTGCGCCTCGGGRTATTGAACCTTGACGGCGACTTCCTGTCCATTCTTTTTMAGGACGGCTCGATGAACCTGGCCTATCGAGGCGCTCCCCAGTGGTTTCGGGTCGAATTCCGAGAAGGTTTCTTCCAGTTTTTTCTTGGTTTCTTCCTCGATTGTCTCTCGGACTGTTTCCGCCGATCGTGGTGGAATTTCGTTCTCGAGAGTCCTCAGCTCACGTATCCAAGCGTCGCCCAGAGTGTTCGTCAGTCCGGCTGCTGTTTGGCCGTATTTCGAATACATTCCCTGCAATTCTCCCAGCTTCGCAACCGTTGGCTTAGCGTACTTTTCATCGAGTTCTTCCCAGTCCTCTTCGGACACAGAWKTTACATATTTGTCTTTCAATTCTACCCAGCGGTAGTGMAGAATTACCGGAGCAAAGGAAGAATAGGCCTGGATCGATCGCTTCGCCCCCTCGTCGAACTCGTATAGATAGGYTCCGGTACCAACCCCACCCGCAAGGAGGGTACCCGTGGCGCGAGTTGCAATKCGGTATAGAGCGGAGGCTGACATCCTTGTTGCGATATGATTTTACCTTAATTTTTGTCTCTCTTCACCTTCGCAGCTTTTGAAACTCGACTTTTGGMCCTCGACTCTTCGACCTCATCCTGAAATGCTGAATCGTGCCAACCACACAACAAACATAGTACGGTACGGTACTGTAGCATGCACTACTGCAATGTRCGAGCAACATGTTCTCACGAAAATTCGTTATTTCATCGCTCTCTGCGTCATTCGCTCGCTCGATGAAAATGTTAAAATGCCCAGCATTTAAAAGTATTTTGTGAGCATTTCCATGTCAAGTTAGTCGAACGAGTCAATTACGATTAACAAATACTGTTGAGTCCGTTTCTCTTGGGTAGGGTACTGTACGTACCGGTACATACCGGTACTTAGTACGAATATGATGTACTCATARTATAGTACCTATACTTCATACATTGGACCACTAAGTATGCTGTCTGCAATTGCCGTTACTACACATCACATCCAACTTCTCGCGCACTTCAGTTCTGTGGTTAATCTCGTTCTTCACTCTAGTAAGTACGAGTACACATGGTACCAGGGACTAGAAGTGTCTATCGTTGATCGCGTAACGCATGTACGGGATAGTACGGTAATCAATATCAGATGGATGATCGGCTCTGCGATACGCAATATTGAAATTGGAGAAGCCAAGGAAGAAGGCTCGCCTTTGGCTTCTTGTAGTAATCGGCAATCTATTGAATATAGTAGTGAAACAAACTAGTAATCGACACGCTACGAGATGCCCATTTGAGTACACTTTGCTATGGTTACTTCTAAGCGGGCGACTGTCAGGTATCCAATCCGGAGAACAAGTATCAAGAAGATCGTTGTAAGACATCCTTTTTCTGTTCTAGTACTCAATTTCTGTCGCCATYTGATTCGTATTCTGCATCTGAGGCCAATGCATATTCTCTAACSGCTTATTGCACTTGACCTTTTAAACTTTTCCTGAAAGCTGAATACTGATTATGATCATGATGGGTCAGACAACGATGGGAATGTCAAGGACGAAGAGCTCCAACCTACTGGTTTAAGAATCGGTCGAATGGTAGACGCTATCGAATTTCCCGTCGGCGACTGCAAAGAGAAAGCATACACCGTGGAAAGGGGAGACCAGGAGAAGATCGACGACAATCATGTGATCGAAAGCGGCCCTGGAGACTTCTCCRAAGGAGACACAGAATCAAAAGGCGAAACTCGCATTGGATCGATTGCGTCCRAACTATCACGGGTTGGTGTCAGAATAGCAAAGAAGTTTTCCTCTCGTGTGTACCTCGGTCGGGTTACGGATGTGTACGATGCCGAGACAGAAAATGCAACACCTCTAGCCGAGGATTTTGATGGCGATGTTTTCTACCACATTCTGTACGAAGACGGMGACGAGGAGGATTTCACGTACGAAGAATTGCAGGAAGGAATCGCCCTCTACTCCGATGTACCAAAACGACGAAGACAGAAATACGAGAATCGAACAAACTTAGTAACACCAACTYCTGGGATGACATCGAAGACATCGTCTTCCTTTCTGCCATTGTATAGCGAGAGGACGCCGATCCACACACTTATTCTCGGAACACATCCCGGGAGGAATTCCCTAAACAACAACCAATACTTTGCACATCGATCGAATGCATTTTGGTGGATAGCTGGTGACTGTTTGGGCTTTAGGAGGGACACTGGCGAAAAAAGAGTCGAGGGCGAGTACATGAAGTTGTGCGCGGATCTCCGGTACGACGAATCACACATTATTCCTTACCATGATCAGGTGAATATTTTGTGTCGCCACGGGTTTGCTCTTTGGGATGTTATCGCCAGCTGCGACCGCCACGGATCTCTCGATAGCGCCATCAAAAACGACAAACCAAATGACATCSAAGAATTCTTGAGGAAACATCCAACCATCAAAACGATTGCATTTGCTAATGGTAAAAGTGGCCTCGCTATCTTCTATCGACATTTCCACCATTTGTTCGAATCTGGAGTATTGGCACTGGAAACTACTTTTGARGGACCTTGGTCGAATTTCGGTCCACTGACTTCTGATTTAGGGGGAGACAAAGCAAGCAATCCATTGAACAAAGAGAACGGGATCATCAAGTGCAAATGTGTTCCGAGCGTTTCACCGGCTGCCACGAACATGACTTACAGAGAAAAACGCGATACTTGGGACACGGTTGTGTTCTCTCCAGGGCTGAATTTTCATCAGCAACTATCTGAATTGAATCGAGCTGGCTCTGCCACAAACAAGAAGTCCCGTGGCCAAAATTACTTTCCGATGGAGTTACTGAACAAAGGCGGTCGGATTGGAATGTACCTGCCCGAGGCTCGAAGGCACCGCATTGCTAGGTTTCATGCAAAACGCAAGACGAGACGCTGGGGAAAACGCATACAATATGACTGCAGAAGCAACTTTGCTTTGAGCCGCCCTCGAATCCATGGTCAGTTTGTAAAAAAATCCCACGCGGATTTGGAGCTATAATGCAACGGTGCCATGCTGCCGTATCTGCATTTTGTGGTGTCCAACAAATGTGAGAATGGAATAGCTATCGTAGGGAACCGGTTTAGACTTGATTTCGCAAGGAGTTGAAATCGTCGAGTCAAATTTAGCTTTGAGACAATATCCTCATCGGGTACGAATCATGAGCTTCAGTCAAAAGTCGCTTGATTTGATAATTCAATACAGGGGGGAAATTGAGGCTGATCTGAAAATGATTCTTTTTCTTTTAATGATACTATTTTCCTACTACAAACGTGTAATACAATCGCATTTTTAAGAAACATAATTTTTTCCGCGATTGCATCCCGCTTCTGTGCTTCAGAAGCCAAAGTGATAGCTTGGTTTCTTGGTGCCATTCCATTTTTAACCGAATTAAAAATCAATTCTCTGTCTTRCGATGGTAGGGTACAAAGAACTGAACATCGCTTTTTCGATACTGATGTGTAATGCTTTATAATGAAGATGGAAACGAGAACCAACCCAGAGAGTCGGGGTGACATATTTTGCGACTGTACGGCTCGATGTTCGCCACTTTGTTCCCAACGCCGGTAAGAATTTATCAAAAACTTTGCGTCGTTCTGCCAGTAAATATGAGATAGCTCCACTAAAGATCAATTGTAAAAATTTGAGATAGGTCATCGCTGTTGACACCAAACGAATTCCGGAAAATATCGTACAAAAGAAACTGTCCGGAAATAATGGACGCAGCCCATAACGAACGGCTCCCAAGGCCACGGAAAAGAGAGGAAAAGCCACTTTCTTCAATCATGAGACGACTACCTTCCAATACACCCAACCCCTTGCTACTCCCGTCGTTACTCTCTGTACTCTCTTGTGCAACATACGTCAAGACAGCATCGGCAGGTTGCGATACAACACAACTGAGGGCGCCACTAAAGGCACCCGCCACTAGGCTAACAGTCAGTGCGGTCCAGGTCGCATCTTTCAGCATCGGCCAGGTCTGGTATATAAATTCGCATGCCCGCTCGAACGCAAGAAACTTTACTGATCCAAAAATCACCTGTCGAGTCATTAGAGAAGGCAATCCCTTGTACAGTGATCCCAAGGAAGAGGATCCGTTCGCAACACCTTCGGATGCAATTGCTTGTAAAGTTCCGCTCAGACCCATGGCTCTGTATCTAGTGGGTTCGGAAACCACTCGGATCCGTGCCGCCTCCAAAGGAGTCAAACCCAAACTGGCGACGACCGCCGCCAAGGCCCCCGCAATCAAGGCAACATCGTTCGCGTGGGCCACAGCCAATTCCGGTGTCAGAACGGTGTTTGCCAAAAACCGTTTGAAAAAGGCATAAGAGGGATAGACACTGACTCCATACCACGCATAACCCGCAAGGGTCGCTTGGGCACCCGTCAGGAGGCCCGCGACCCCCTCTTTCTCGACGATTTCAGTAACGATRTTCATGGTCGATTCTGTAGATGTCTGGGCCCGGGTCTTGACAACGTCTAGCGGAATGACAACTGAATGAGTCAGTGCACAGCCGGTCGCACCGCTTATACCAAACAAGGCATAAATGTCAAATGTGTAGCGAGGAAGCTCCCTTSTGAGTGCATTCAGAGCCAGCGGTCCAAATGTGGTAGCMGTAGCAGCTTGGCCAAACTCTTCGCCCACACCTACTTGGTATAGGCTTATTGGCGGTTGGATTGAAACGAAACCATCGGAAGAAGAAAAAACGGGGTTGTATTCACGAGGCAATAAAGTAGACAAATCGGCTAAAGAGGCAGAGTCCCCTTCTTTCGACATCGTCAATCCTGTAGGWATAATTTTCCGAATGAGGTCCCTCGGCTGTTGATCAACTGGCAGGGTAGCAGCTAGCATGCAAAGCTGCCGTTTTACGTCCTCATTGTTCTTTGCTGCATCTGCGTAGGTAGCAGCAAATCGATCAAATAGTTGTTCGTATCCCTGTCGATTGCTGCTGGCCTTTTTCAGGTATATTTSCACCGCTTCCTGTATCGAGACCGCTAAACCCCCAAAGTCTCGTCCCAGTCGGCTTTGTTGTTGTTCATCGGGTAGCAACGAGTAGGAAATTCTGCGTTGTTGCCACCAAGCAGCGACGCCGTCGTCGTAATTGATGAGAAATCTTGTCAGGTAGGTAGTAAAACAAGCCGGCACGCTTGTGACAACAACATTACCATTCTGTACTCCATTGGTATCTCCCGCGCTTGCCAAGAGGTTTTCGTCATCTATTGGCACAGGTTCTCCGGTCRTTTGGCGACCGGGGTTCCAACTCCCACGACCAACCTGAAGGTTTTCTAGTGATTTTTTGCTCCCTTCGCTCGCATTTGCGGATTGGAGGGGGAAGAATGCCATGGTCGCAGCCGTMGCGAGAAGAAAATTCCGACGCTCCATTTCGTTCAATGGAGAATTTTTCTCCTGTGCTGGGTATTCCTCTAGTTCTATGCTACTTTCGAAGAGACTGGCTCCTCTGTTTTCGGAATGAGAGTCGTACAGTCGAACCCATGACGACGATGTTGGCGGTGCTTGAAATCTCCTTGTYGGTGTGTGTTGCAACGTCTTGCCGTTGTGTTGGAATGCACGACAAGATTTTATTGACATTATGCACAAACATATAGCCGCGCCGGTGACCACATAAAACACCGATGCTGATTCCGATGCTGATGCTCTCTGTGTTCGCCGCTTTATCCTTGGCATCRTTTTAGAGAGTGTGTGAAGCCGGAAAAGCTTTGTCGGATCTGGATTGAAATTCTATTTTGTTTCTTTGCCTTTGATCAGTGTAGATTCATTAACAAGCTTAGCTATCGCTCTGCCCACAGTTTTGCGCTCGAGTTGTGTTCGTCTTGTCCTGTCCTACCTATGTCAGTAAGGCTTCGGATCCGCATCCGCATATGAAGAATATGATCATTGATGGGTTCTCGGCGTGGATCTAAAAATACCCGTACCGACACAGTCACTGCGGTATGGAGAAACGAAGAAAGAAGAAAGAAGGCGAGGTTTTTTAATTTGAGACGTGCGGATGAGGAACAGACAACCAGCTGAAAGCCRTTATTCGTTGGCTTCAACCTGGAACCCGAAAATACGACTCGTTGGAGTAACATATGAACCAGGCGTCAATCCGACAASATGAAGATGATGACGCGATGCACACAACAGGCAGTTTTTACTTAGGATTTCGTTTGATGTCACCTTCAAATAGAGGCAATCCAGCATCAACTTTTCTACGGGAACAACACAGATCAGCGAAGTCTGATATTGCTTATTTCATGCTTTAGTTGCAGCAAGAGTGAACTTCTTTTGCACTCACCACTAACTTGCATCGTTACTCCCAGAATTTRCAATTCTACCGATATCTGAATCAATAATYATCATGTATTCTCTTGTCTCATCCTTATGCATGGTCTCTGCCCTGCTTCCATCGGTGGCAGGGTTTGGAGTGACGCCGCCACTGCAACACCAACTTTCTTCGACGTCGTCGACGAGAACGACGAAATTGGATRTTTTKCCGGTGGACGTGACAACACATGTGGATATATCGAATGCAGCACAAAGCATGTGGATAGCAACCATTGACTCCGATATTGCAAACATCCAACTTGAAGAATTTCGGACAGTTTTTGCGGGAGGAATCGTGAGTCTGCGATTGAATGTTGCTGTGTGGGGATAACTATGCCGGAACGGTATGCTTCTAATTTTTTCGGGGCCGGTCCAGCGAATACGAAATCCTCGGTTGGGGTGAATTCAACAGCAAGGCAGCGATGGATTGGATTTGATGAATCGATTTTGCTGCTCCGCTGTGTTTGCCGYTTTCTCTCATTCTTGATTTCATGCCGTGATTTGTTTTTGATTTCTTTGAAGGCGGTTATGTTTGGGGGTCTCATCTCGACTACCCTGCTTGGCACCCTTATCGACAAGAAGGATTTGTATGCAGACCTAGCGGTAGAATCCTACATGGACATGGCCGACGAGCCGGATTTCTGGAAGAAAATGACCGAGGGCATGAGCCCGGAGGAAAAGGAAAAAGCCAAGGAGCTCATGGCGAAGATCAAGGCCCAGCGGGCGGGGGAAGACGCCCCTGTCACAGAGGCACCACAGGCCCTGGCATCGGATGGGAGTGAAGCTAGCACCGAAACGACAACGCCGGCCCCGGTGGAAGCAACGAAGGAAGAAACCGCAAAGGCTTCGAATGATATGTTTAGCGACTACTAGTGTATTACAACTAGTGGGWAAACGTTCGTCGATACAACAGCATTCGCTGCCATTGGTTTCGAATATTCATTCCAAATATTCGTTTGCAATTGCAGACCGTAACGGTTGATTCCATTTTASCCTCACAATGCAAAAGTCAAACCAGTTCCTTTTGAAAATGACGCTAACGAGAATTCGTCAGTTTGTTGTGACAACTTCGCTGGACCGACAAAGAATAGGCTCTGAACAAAACGCTGCACATACATAATACACTTGCCCACGACATGAATCGATCGGCCATGAAATCACCCACAAAGAAACTTATTCAACAAAAATAGAACTTTCTTGTATTTACACTGAAATTGTTTCGTTTAAAAAAAATTATTACAGGAAGGCGTTGTMGATTTCCAACAATAAATGAAGTCTGCAGTAGACAATTTTTCGTGGACTCAACCATATTTCGACAATGACATCGCAGAAAGAGCTTTATGTATAATGTGCCAGGGGCAACGGTTGTTCAAACCCTGAAATACATGGGTTCTTGCTTCTCTTCAAGGATTCGAAACCTAATCGGAATTTCGATTTCTGACGTAGTGTTCGCAGATGACCTGAAGCTGCATTGAGTTAGTCTTTTCGGCAACCTCTAATAGATAATCAACCGTCTCAGCTCGTTCGTTCGACTGCTGGTCGACCTGTTTGAGGTGGTTCAGCAAGTTGCACTGGAGCTGGGTTTCACAGACCTGTTTGAGGTTGTCTAGGAAGAACCGATCGGCCAGTTCCAGAATGTCCACAATCTTGTCCAGGCGACGACGAGAATCCTCGGGTGAGCGATCGGACATCTGAGAGGGCATCGTGGGGATTGCCCCCGTGTATATGTATTCCATCACCGCTAAAAAGGCATCGTAGGAACACCCAGTGATCTCGATTTCGGAGGAAGAGGATTCTCGAAAGCCGGCCGTGAACATTGCTCGAAAGCAGTCGGAAACAATGGCCAAAACCATCTTGTGCCCGTACACCCTGCGACCTTGCACCAAGAAGGTAACGTCGGAAAATTCTTCGTCGTTGAAAAAATGCGGTAGTCGCCGTGTGATCAGGTTCAGACTCGTCGCTTCGGTTACCGCGGCACGGGGTGGTGGATCCGTGTCAAGGAAATAAAAGTCGTTCAGGTAGTCCGAGCCGCACGAACCGCCAAACACGTATATTTTGCGATTCACAGCAGTCGCTGTGTGTCCCGCTCTCGAGCCGGGCACACGAAGACCCTGCAAGACAACAGTTGGGGCGGTATCCTCGTCATTGGGATTCGGAGAGGCAATGACCCCCGTGCCCATCGACCGCGGTCGGGCCGCCAATTCTCGAGACGTCCAGTCGGCTCGGGAGGATGTAAAGCCACCAGGCCGATGGTGATCCTTAGCATTGCTGTTGTTGCCGTTGTCGATTTGATGATGACTGTAGGGAACCCCCGCATGGCTGTCTTGATATTGATGGTGATGGCCACGTCCACTGTAATCATAGTAGTTGTTACCGTTAGAATTCAATTGGGGGTTGGACCATCCATTATCTTGGTGGTTCGCAAACGAGTGGTGATGCTGCTGCTGGTATTGCTGGGATTGATGCGAGTGCGCATAGTATTGTTGTGAGTTTGGTAGCGGAAAGTTGTTTTGTCGGTGGTAGTGGGAAGGATGCATCTGGCTGTGGTGGTGGTTGCGGTTACCGCTGTTGGCATTCCCGTGTGGAACCGTTTCGTACTGTGTAACGTCCAACCACGCCATTTCCTCTCGGTCCAGGATTTGCAGGTCTTGAAAACACTTGGAACTGGTTCCGCTTCCACCAAACAAATACAAACGACCTCTCAAGGCCGTCAGCGTCATACCCGCTCTAGGATGTGGCAGGACTCCACCAACCTTGGGACAGGTCCAGTTGCATGTTTTCGTGTCAAAAATATGTATGTCGTTCAATCGATTCGTTCCGTTCCACCCTCCAAAGACAAATATTTCTCCTGTTTCTTCCAAGATGCAGCTCGAGTGATTTGCCCTCCGCTGGGGGCTTTCGCCCGTCGTAGCTACCTTTCGCCAGGTCATGGTAGGGACGTGAAGCGCATGAACGTCGTTAAGATATTCACGGCCTAAGAATAAGCAATAGTGAACAGGACTAATTTACATCAGAAACAAAGGCACCCAAAAGCACATAGATAATACGCGCACAAATACCAAACGAGAAGGGCCATGCGGTGCTACCCAGCGACTGAGAGGTGACGCGACCAACAACACACGAAATCGTTGAACGCACCGTTTCCTCCACGAAAGACGAATACCTCCTTCCTGTCCTTCACGTAATCGGCCGAATGCATGTTGCACGGACCGGGTGGGGTGCCCTTGACGGTCGGCTGGTACCACCGCAATCGCTTGCCACCGCGGGCGATTTCCAGAACGTGCATATCACTGGCCGCCAGGGGGCCCTGGCCCAGCCACCCACCGAGTATGATGATGCGGCCCGTGACGCCTTCTCCTCGTTGTTCCCCGCTCTCGTAGCCTTCGCTGTCGTCGCCCTCGTCAGTAGCGAGGGTGGCAGAGTGTCCGTTGCGACCCGGTGGGGGATTTCCCGTCACTGTGTATGCGTACCTGCTGTCTTCGTTTCTTGCATCGAGACCGGTAGCACCTCCGATTCCTGGATACAAACCCTCTCGGCTGTTGCTGCGAAGGGCATTGTTGCTGTTGTATGGATGGTCGTCGTGAAAGGCTGGTGGCTGCTGCTGCTGCTGCTGCTGCTGCTGCTGATGCTGACGATGTTGGGGACCTGGTCGGTGCGGTATCCGATGCTCTCGCGATGCATCCATTGGTTCCGATTCGCTAGTGTCGGGTTCGTTGTTTCTGCTGATTCGGTTGCCATCCCCGATGTTGTGAATACTGCCGTTGTTGGTGCCGTTGCTATCCGGAAGCGGTTCTATTATGGAGGAATTGTTCACGTTGCTGCTGCTACTGCTGCTCGAAACGAACTCATCCTCCAGCATGTGGGGACGGATCCATCGGTGTTCCCGAATACTGTACAGGAGCAAGAGATTGTGGTTTCGTCGCCCGTCGTAACCACCGAAACAGTACAGGTGATCGTTGAAAAACGTAACCGAATGATTCTTGATGGTTGGAGCAGGCGGGGCACCGATATTTCCTCCCGCCTCGGAACCGGATATTCCAATGACGCCCTGGCTGCTCCCCCCCGAGGCAGGGGAGGCGGGCGTCGTGGAAACCTCGGACCATTGCATTGTCTCCATGGTGACACTTTCGATTCGATCTATTGTAGCGGAAGAATTAATCGATTGCACAAGAACTTTTCGCAAAGAAAGCGACCAATCGCGAAATGCTTCGAAGCAGGATCACTCTACAGTGAGGATCAATGATTTGCTGGATTCCACAAACCCGTCTTTGTTTTGTTCCTAGATCTTCCTTGTGTGAATCGTGTCACTAAGTCGATCTCTTGTCCTCGTGGGGATTCCGATAACGTTCTCTTGCCTATTATATCGAGTGTATTGTTGCTGCTCTGGGCATTGTGTAGTTCTTTCCTCTTTTGTTCGACTTCTTGGAGGGAGGACCTACTGACACCATGTTAACGATGTTATGTTGACGTGAAATGGTTTTGATTGGAGACATTCTTTGAATGAGGTCGTGTTCCCATCGCTTCCGGCCCCTAACCGGTACGTACCGGTACTGTCCTTACCATAGTACGAGTACGTACGGTACTACTATCACCTTACAGTACGTAGTTTCATGTTGTTCTTCGTTCTTTCCTTTCCTTTCCTTTCCTTTCCAATTCGTTCGCATGTTGTAGAATTTCTGCACTCGTACCTCCTCGTACAAACCGAAGTACGATACGTGTGACTTCTCGGAATTTTCGTCGATCAACCATTCGTGATGCGTGATCGATCAGTTCTTACTGGGACTACTGTAAGAGAGGCTTCTTACAGTATCATAGGTATGTATGGTAGATTACTTAGATACGTATGTCTACTAGTAGCATAAGCTCCTAAAAAATTCTTCTACTCGATTATCCATCCATCATCGGAAAACCACACGAGACGAAAAAGAAGAAAAAACAAGTCAAACATAAAGGTTGCAGCCGACTCATCGTTTTTCGATACTACTTTGAAGAAAATTACAGTGTGGAAAAACCTAACGAGTACTGTATTCTAGACACTTGTGGAAATGATTGGGATAGAGTAAGATATTCTTGAGGGGAAAATCGACAGGATCAACGCGATGGCAGCTGTATTACCGGACAACACACCGTCAAGCAAAGGTCTAGACGACGGTAGCGGCGAGACGGAAGCCAGAACGCGTGAACGCCGCCATTTCTGGTCCACAATTGGGCTATGTGGGAGCGCCTTCAGTATGTTCTACCTGATCATGAACGTGTTTCCGTACTCTGGATTCATGGCCCTGCACCTGCTGAACGGGAACCGCGACGATCTAGACGACGACAACGACTATCCCCATCGCTACAGTGCGGCCACCATCGGTCCCTGCGCTGGGATCCTCGTCAGCTCATTCCGTCTCGGTCGCGTCCCAACGGCGATTGCTTGGGGACGGTGCGCCGACGTCTATGGAAGGAAATTCGCCCTGGTGGTGGGCCTCCTGGCGATGGTCCTCGGGAACCTGCTCTTTGGCCTTGCGCCCAGCTTTGCTGCGGCGGTGGCGATCCGCTTTGCGAGTGGCCTCCTCAACGGGACGATGGTCGTGGTGCGCACGGCAATCTCCGAGATCGCGGAAGGAGACGAGGCGCTCGAATCGAGGGGCGTGGCGATMATGTCGTCCATGTCCGGCTACGCGKTGTTGGTCGGCCCGGCGATCGGGGGCCTGCTGTCGGAACCCACCCTCCACCACCCGGGGTGGTTCGGTGGTGCCGGTAGCCGCACAGAGCTTTGGTTTGCGAGGAATCTCTTGGAAGACTATCCATTCTTGCTGCCAAATCTGGTGGGATCGTTTGTGGCCTTGTTGAGCCTCGCGATCGTGGCAACCTGTGTCGAAGAAACCCTTCCGGAGGACCAGCTAAGAGACTGGCGATGCGTTCCGATGGACACAGTGCAATGGATCGAACAGAATTTTTGCTTCGTGCGACAAAAGATGGGATGCTGTAGGCCAAAGAACAGGATTGGCATCAGCGTTGCGACAGAGCAACACCCCTTTTCGAACAATCCGTTGGGAATGGGATTGGTGCTCTCGAGATCCGACGAAGCAACTACAGGTGCTTTGTCGGCAAAAACAATTTCAATCAACGAGAGCACGCCACTGGTGCAACCACCGGCTTTGCGTTCCTCGGAATTGCCTGCCTTGCATCTGGAAAGCACAAACGAAGAAAAGGATGATAATACAGTACTAGTGACAGATGAAACCAACGGAGGAATTCTAGGATTCTTTCTGAATAATACTACGTCCACCGTGCGGTATTTCTTCTACAGCATGTGGCTCTACGCCTTCACGAGCCTCGCCTCATCGGAAACCTTCCCTTTATTTGCGATCACCTCGAAAGAAAAGGGGGGACTGGGCATGAACGAGACCGACATTGGGATCGTGCAAACGATTGCAGGGAGCATCTTTGTAGTGGGTCAGTATCCGGTCTTCACCTTTATCAAGAAACGATTGGGAGTCATGGGGGCCCTGAGAGCTGGAGCCTTGTATTCGAATGTTCTTCTCCTATTCATCCCCATAGCCCTATACTTTTCTCCGACAACCAGACACAACTGGTACCAACTGGGATACCTAGGGTTGGTTTCCGGTGCTGCGGGGATTTTCGGGAGCATTTTTATGGGATGCGCGACTATTGGAGTGAACGGCTGCATCGAACAGCCGAGCCAGCGCGCCTCCGTCAACGGGTTGCAGTCCATGGTGGCCTCTGTCGGGCGCGGACTCGGCCCGATCGCCGCCGGATACCTGGTGGCGTGGGTGATGGCCTCGGAGGCGATTTCCTCGACGGCGAGCGCTTGGGTCCTCTACGTCGTGTTGGTACTCATGGGAATGGTCACGTACGCATCCACGGGGAGCATACCCGTCGGCGGCGACGATAAACGATAATATCAACAACAATAATGAGGTTAAAGGATACGATATACTAGGTATGAGAAGTACGAAATCAACAACCGAGGTGCCGTCAGTTGCGTGCTCCTCGTATCCTGTAATATTATTCGAGTATTGTTCTGATGTATGAATAGGATGCAAATAATTACACACGCACAAGAAATCCTCCACTTTGATATTCCATCGTGCTTCGAAATTCTTAAGTAAAGTAGCAGAATGGATCTTTGCAAGTGCAGTGTGTACAACTGAACCCAGGAAATTAAAGGTCTCAACGAGACTGTGGCTAAAGCGATGATGCATTTTCTCAGATTGAGAGTGAGTTTATTTTCAATTTGTTGTCTATTTTAGCAATTGTAGCAAATGAGCCGCAGAAGTTGCTGTGCATTGTCGAAGTGTCGTCGCTTCTTTCTATTTTTGTTTGGTCTATCGGTGAGTAATAATACATTGTGGATGAGAGCTATAGCACAAGAATGCTGCAGGGACACGAAAGCCTCAGAATACCCCTGCTGAAACTTCTCTTGGAGAATTGGGACCCGAAATTTCCATTGCGTGGTCTTTCGATTCCTTCGCAGCGATTGTCTGATTCGCTCGTATACATTGAGCATCGATTGTCTGCATCAAGTCTTGTAAATTCACATTGTTGTCCAATGAAATCCGTAGATCTTCGGCGGCGTGTAGCACGTCCCAAGACGTGCTCTCAAGACCTGTTGTGGAGGCAACGTTGTACAGAAATTGATGCCTTTGCCACAGTGGCAAAGTTGCTTCATCTATGCGTTCCATTGAGATGATGATTGCTGCAAATGCCATCGAAGATGCTGGGTATTTTACAAATTTGTACAGGCACGCAGAGACCTCCGAAACAAACCGTGTTACTTCCACAATTATGTACCTGGCTACCGGTGTCGATTCAGGTGGAAGTAATCGAAGAAGCTGACGCATGAAGCAAACAGGAGTTGGGGGATGCACATGCCATGTGAAAGCTTTCAGCATTTTGGATTCCATTCCGATGACATCGGCTTCGTTGAATAATCCACGACCAAGCCTGACCATACTATCTAGCTTCACCATAGTCGAATCGTTCAACTTTATCGAAAGCATGAGACTTGTCATCGCTACGAGCTGAAAGTCTTTGCGAGATCGCACCAAGTCGTGACAAGATGCTAGATCTAAAAAATACGTAGCAACCGAAACCGACTCGCGCCTTAAATTGCAGTGGTCAACTACACCATACATCCACTCCACGATGCGTTGCCGCCAGGACGCATCGATTGTTTCATCATCGTTAAGCTTTGAGGGAAGCAGCAACGTAAGATAATCCTCCCTCTTGTACGTTGTTCTTTCTTGCCTCAACATGTTGGCGATGATTTCACCAACATTGTGGTCCTGCTCAGGGATAACAAAAGATGATGGCGTGCATTCCGTATCCATCATGGTTGTTTTCTTTTGAAGAGACGTTAACGTTTGCTTACTTGTTCCGAAATTGCACGTGAGTGACAATATGGACGTGACGCACAATCTTACTCTGCTCCTTTCATTCACGGAAGAAAGCGGTGCCAGTAGAAGATCAAGCGGATATGCGTTTAAATTTGGTTTCGGCTATTTTCGARGGATTAGGAAAAAGGTTTTGATCGAAATTTTGTACGAAGCACCTCTAATGTGTGAAGGCTTTGCGATAGTCGCAGGAGTGCGGTCAACCCAACGCACGATATTAGACACTTCATGAGACACAAATGAGCGTGCGTCGAGCCACCGTCGCCAAAAACTATGATGAAAAGCACACACTTCAACGGAACGTGTATGAGCCTCGACTCAGACACTCAACGCCTTCAGCGACCCAGGCAATAATACTGTGAAAGCGTACATAATTTAGGCCCTTTACTCGTGTTTATTGAGCGTTGGATGATGCTTATCAAAAGAAGAATATTTGCTCTTGAGAAAAAGCAATAAATAATTTAAAAGTTACTTCCTCGTACATTTCTACTGTGAAAACTATAGGGTTCTGGTTTTTATTTTGTCCGAAGTTCGGACTAACCATTGTCATGAAATTTTTCCCAACGAATGGAACGCATGTGTTTTCCTTGTTTACCATGATACAACCCTCGTACGCTTAGATGGGGTACGGCTACTTCCTTTTTAGATTTGAGATGTGTTTCATCACGTACATACTAGTAGTACTAGGTTCCGAAAGAATTTGATCCTGGAATKGTTTAAAACTAGTACTAGTAGTAGAACTAGTAGTAGTCGTGGTTAGAAGAATTATGGTGATGGTRCTACCATTAGCACTAGTAGTAGAAATCAATACTAGCTAGGTAGTTCCAAAAACTCATCAACAAGAAAGAATAGGGGGTGACATGCATCTTTGAATGAAGTAGACGAGCTCCTGGTGTGCATCTTTGAATGAAGTACTAGAGCTCCTGTAGTAGCTGCTGAGGCTGGCAAAAGAGAGACAGAAAGACAATTGAAAAAGAAACCAACAACCTCCAAAGAGAGCGATACCATAAGAAAGTGGTCTCAAAGTCTCAACACTCTGGTGGTGATTAGTAGAAACATCACCACCAACATCTTCTTTATCAAAGACTTACTGGGAGGATTTTTTTGCAGGATTGTCCACTCATGAAACACCATGTACTAGTACAATAGCACAAATTGTGAGGGAACAGTATTCTTGCCACTACATCACCATACTACTAGTAGTACTATTACACATCTCAAGAAGAAGTTTGGAGGAGTTCAACTTGGACACTCAGCACTCCAATGCTGACTAGTATGTTGTGTTGAGAATTCTTGTTCAGCACAACAGATTTGCAACAAAAGAAATCACCAAACCTTCTTTCTTGAAGTAAAACAAGAAAGTGATGATGGCCAGTATAATGTGGACACAGTCATCATATGACCCTGAACCACTACTACTAGATGATGCCACCTTGATGAACAATGCCTCTCCTCCTTCTATGGCAACCTCTGGATTCCTTCCCCTTGAGCCTGTGAGCTCCACAGTAGCCTAAAAAATGTTGCTGCTCTGAAAGATGATTTGGATGATAAATCAGGTTAATTAACTCAATATCTCAATAAGGTAATTAACTAAAATACTAACCAAATTATCATTAACTTAATTACTACCCTCTGGATAAACAATAAATGCAGGCTTTGAAAATAAATGAATTGAACCAATTAAMATTATTACTGAACTTAATAAACAAAATTACTTGGGTTGATAGACTGACTATTTTTAGGATTGAATCTTGCTGGTAATTGAACAAGTATTCCAAATGCTTGGTTGGCAGCTCTCTTCATCACACGCATCATGCAATAAAGTCCTACTGTGGGCTATGCATAAAAAATGTACCTAACAATTATGTTTTGCACATACTGCTTCCTGCAGGTGGGTACTTTTTTGCACACAAGCAACTAGTACTTGTACCAATAGTCTTTTTGACAGCCATGCTTGATTCTACATGTATTGGTTATCTACATAAAATAATCTGTTGTCTCTAACACTTGTGACAGACAACAGCTACCTCAGCCTCCTCTTCTACCCTTCAAAGTTTGAATCCACAGTCTGCCTCCTGATTGCATCGCTATCAATAGGCTTGTCTGCAATGCCTTCTCCAAGAAGAGACATCATTGACAGCTGCTGTTGGAGTAATTTTCTGGCACCTTCATTCTTCTTGACACTCCTGTCACCACAACAATTCAACAAGCACCATATCCTTGATTTACTTGAAACCAACCACACTGTGACCAGAGTACCATTTACTACTAATAGAATATATTGTTTTGCTTTTCTTTTGTCTTTTGTTACCACTTCATCCCCATAGCATTGCTCTCATCCATCCAAACTAGTATGAACCAGCCCTTTCCATGTCATGTTCACTGGGTTAGGGAACTGCTGTAATTGGCTTGTCAGTGTGCATGAAAACTTTCATTGCATGACTGTCATACATCCAAACTGTGAACCAATTCCTTCTGTGTTCCCTGAGTCCAGCCCCTATTACCTTAAATAGTAGTCATTGTAAATGGTCATGCCCACTTGTTGCCCTTGGAGCGCTTCTTTTTGCATCCTTCTCGCTATTCAGGAGATGAGATCCTTCTGGACTTCCTAGTACCTTTTATAGACCACAAGGTTTAGTATAATATTAAGTTATCTAAAAATTTGCATTTTTCTTGTTTCAATATTACAAACTACTACTACTACTACTACTACTACTACTACTACTACTACTACTACTACTACTACTACTACTACAAGTAGTACTAGGAAATCCAGGAGGATTATTGCACCATGTGCAATGTTCCATGCAATAGGAGGCAGTACTCCTCTAGGTAGATAATGAGCACAACTGCCAGGACACTTGCTCATCAAAAGGAGGACATGGGAGAGAAGAAAGAGCAGAATTTTCTGAAGGAGTTCAATCATCCAGAATCAGATGAATACTACTAGTATTACCAGAGAGACTTGAGTTATTAGTGGTACTTATAAACCTGCTAGTTCCAGGTGCCCAGCCAAATGATGTTTTTAAACAATTAACCTTCTTAAACATATGGGTTGATGGGTTTTGGAATTCATCTGACTTGGACTTTTCTGTCTCTGTACTGCTACTTCCTGTCTCCTCACACTCATTTAGGCAATGTTTTGTTTTTTTTCTTCTTGCTGGGTAGTATATCACCAACATATGTCCAAAATGGTGATCCTGGTTTGTATTACCCAAGAATATGTCATTTTAATTTTTCTATTTTTTGAAGAATTCATAGTATCTTTGGCATGAGGATTGATGCAAATGAAATTTCTGGCATTCTGATAATATGCATGATGTTTTTCGTCCTCCTTGCCTAATCTACTTTTAATCTCATCATGTCATCTATTTTCTATTGTATAGAGTTGGCACCCAAATGTAWGAACCAGTCATACATTTTGGGCCCTTATTTTGCATTTAATGACTACTTTGACTAAATAACTGCAGATGCTGAATTTTTGAATCCTACATTCGTGCGACCAAATAGTTTTGCTCACACATGCACTGTAGCCCTAGTACAGCAAGTCATTACACGATAAAAAGATAGCTCCCCAAAATTGAGGCACAGTAGAAAAACACATAGAACATTAAGAGAGGTTCAACTCACTTGAACAGCTATAACTTTGTCCCCAATGGATGCTTAAGTACAGTAAGCACATGAATCGAAAGGGAATTTACAGACAAATATTTCAATGTGGGGGGTTATAGGGGTTATTGATTATTTCACTATATTAGTGTATGTATATTAAGGATTGCTAATGTACAAATGACACAGCCGGAAACTCTCTGCCAACTGTGATAGTAGTAATAGTTATTTTATGTAGGTAGTTCACAACAGGGCCAAAGACAGTCTACTAGCTGTTCAAGATTTCAAATTTTGCAACACTAGTAGTATAGTTTATCCAACCGCACTACTAGTTTATCATCTTTAGTAGCTGCTTTGTAGTCTTCTAAAGATTAGTATTCTGAAGACAAACGTGAACTTATATTGGGAATGGATGGAAGAAATTTGTAGACTAGAGTAGTAATAGTTTTTTGAAAGACTAATTATCTTTTAAAAACACACTACCCTGAGTTTGGAGTTATCCTGGCTATTAATTTTCTCCTGTAAACCTTATAATAAGTACACAAGCAGAGCAAAGCATTTGTTCAGAACAATATTGGAGCCTACTATGACAACTATTTTGAGTTTCACCCATTGAATACTACTTCAAGAAGTCAAGCATCAAAGGCTATTTTGAACAAGATGGCAACAAACCAGGGACGTTACAAAATGACGCATTACCGGTTACCTTAAGCTGCTGTACCCAAGACTACTCCAACTAAGTAAATATGCTCATCTCCTACTTAGTAGTAAACCAGTACAAAATGGCACATGCCAACTAATGAAAGCAATTGTACTATTGCCTACCGGAAATTGACTTAAAAAGCTACTTTAAAGCTACTTCTGAAGTGACTTTATTTTTACCTTAATTAAAAATTTTGATTCCCGTTGACCCCCCTAGTCGCCTTATGTATCAGTAGGCACATGACTCAATAGTGAGCTGTAGGTCCAGTAGCTTAAAGTTTCTGGTTATGAGTTGTTTTGGAACATCCCAGCAATAAGCAATTCATTTTTATCTCTTTACAAAGCCAATTTTTTATCGTATAGGCTGGGCCAAGCAAAAAAAGAGGGTTTAAACCGTACATTAGCAATTCAAGATTTACGCAAACGAATATCAGTCAATATTCGTCGTACGCCGTACTCCCCCACGCCATTAGAAAGCTCTTTGAATTTTCTTTTTAACCATGTGCTTATTGTCTTTCTGCAACCGTTGAGGAAAAAGTTACAGCCCAAACTGTCAGTTCAAGACTGAAACAGTTATACGGTTCAATTATACGTGTGCGTGGATTAGCAGCCATCTAATTACCGTGTAATGACTCGTGGGATTAAAAATTTGACTTGTACTACTAGGCCTACAGCATGCACGTGAAAGCAACTCGTGGGATTAAAAATTTTGTTGGTTGAGCACGTGCGCGCGAAACTATTTGGTCGCATGAATGCGTGCCCGCTGT